TGTTATTTGTCCAGTTAGTATCACTTAACGGTTGAATCTGAATCACTGGGACCAGTGGATCATGCAGTCTGTCCAGTATAACATGGCAGGATTTGGTTTTTTGTTTTATCACCATTAACTTGCTGCTAGGGTCCTAAGCTTGACCAAGGGAGTGGATCTGGAGTTGGGCCACAATACTGCTCTAGAAGGAAGAGCTGTGGGAGCCACTTTGAATAAAGCAGAGGTTCTTACAATCACATCCTGCATCCTTGCTGCAAAAAAGAACTTTCCATCAGTAGTCATGGTTCTGTGTTTTCCAGTCTAGATACCTGGCTGTAATGCTAAGTCATGGCCTGAAATAGTGCATGCAGTGCACCTGAGTGAGTGGAAAGGGTGGAGCCAGGATCTACTCCTTCCCAGACCTCATTTAGGGTTGGCAGTGGAAGCAAGTGTATCTCTTGCTGGGGATCCCTGCCTATCTGAGGCTTTTTTTCTGCCTTAAGCAGCTCTTTTCCTTCATTTCTGCATCTACTTGGGCTTATTCTCATTTGCTGTGGCCGAAGACTTTGCCACCTTGCTGTTATTGCAGTACTTTCCATCCCATTATAGTATTACACTAGCACTAGAAAATTATGTGAGAGGAGGGTGATCTTGAGTATTGACTGTTGTGTCTTTCACATCTGCTGAAGAGCTTGAAAATCATTAATTTTATTTAGATGCCTAACCTCTGGCTGTTCTGTTGATGTGTATTAATGCAGTTTCTGTTAATGCTGGAGTTCCTAGTGAGTTCCTGGGTTTTTGCACTGTGATATTCAGTACAGATGCTAATGTCACAAGAGCTTACTTTTCTCCCTTCTACAGTATTAATACAACATTAACACTCTTAATCAATTAGCTTACATATGAATGCAGACACAACAACTGATGAAGTGACTAATTTAAGACATTTCAGTTAAGTGCAGGTCAAACTAATTGGAAATATGTTCATTTACTCTGCCTCCCAGCTTAATAAGAGATATTGTCAGTTCAAAACTAAGGGTTTCTGCTTCAACCACAGCTTGAGATTTCAGATGCTGTTTCAATGTTTCTTCTGGCATGTTACCCAGCTGTGCTAATGACCGGAAGGGCACGGAGGCGAGAAGCCCCTGTTTGCATTTCCCACAGACATTAGTGTTTCTATACCCAGCATTCAGAGCCCTCGCTCTCTTACAGGCATCAGCTGGCAAGGATTGATCACTGGTTACCTCAGGGATACTGCTTGTTTCTGTCTCTGGTTTGCATAGCTTGTAGAACAGCAGTGTATTGCCTTATACTGTTTGCTGTTCTGCAGCACTAAGACTTTATCTCTACAACTACCTAAATGGAGAAGGCTTCTTCTCCTGTATAACCAGTGACAGGATGAGAGGGAATGGCCTCAAGTTGTGCAAGGGGATGTTCTAGTTGGTTATTAGGAGAAACTTCTTCAAAAGAATGGTCAAGCACTGGAATAGGGAACCCTGGAAGGTGATGGAGTCGCATCCCTAGAGGTGTTCAAGAAACACTTACGTGTTGTGCAGAGGGGCATGGTTTAGTGGGATATGTTGGTAGTGGTGGACGATTGGACTAGATGACCTTGGAGGTCTTTTCCAGCCTGGGTGATTGTACGATTCTGTATGAGGGCTGCTCTCAAAGTGATGCCTTCTCTTTTATTATGTTGGCCCCCCAACATCAGAGGCGGATGTTGGCAGTATAGCTGTAGAGTTTGAGCCTTCCCACCACCATTCCATTACATTTTGCCACATGACAGATGTCAGCAGAGGGGCAGTCTGATAAAATGATGTCTGAAGTGCTTATGAAGCAAAGGTGTGTCTTGGAATTCGTCCATTAGAAGAAAGTGGCATGCATTGACATTCATCAGTGCTTGCTGAGTGTCTGGCTGACATATAGGGCCCTCCATCCCATTGAGAAGGGAGTTGCCTGTGACAGTCATCCTTCCTTCTTTCTTGATGGAGGCAATCTTGAGGTGTGGAGTTAACCACCTCACCTTAGACAACCTCATGGGTGGACCTTCCACGGTATCCTCACACACCTCTCCCTCAAGTTCCAGAGCCTCAAACCTACTATGTATAGGCACCTAGGGTTGAGATTTGCCTGCAGTGCTGAGCTAGGACCTTTTTCCACTCTTCCTCTTCTCTTAAATCCCTTCCTTCCACATGACAATGGCAAAGCAGGTGGTCTACCACTGTTTTGTGGATATCACTCTGGTGTCTTTCTTGCAAGTTTGGCAGGGAGCTGCTCCATCAATCTATCTCTTGCTCGTACTCTGATGCTCCTTAATCTCCTCCTCCTTGAGCTATGGCGCCATACTGAGCAGATCATCCACCTGCTCGCACCTCATGCAGGTGGAATCCCTGCCACCCTTCAAAGGTAGTATCATGCTCAGGCACTCCCTTCAGTCAGAAATGAGAACCAGCATATTTTTTTGGCTGCATGCTTTCTGGCCAGAACTTTCTGCCTAGTAGAGTCCTTGGCTGGATTTGTTCTCTAGAGGGTAGCTTACAAGAGAGGTCTCCTGAGTGCAGAGGAGTGCTCTGTTCTCCTGCTCGCCCTGCTTGCCTGCCCCATGCAAACTGCCCTGCCGTGCCCTTCTGCCATGCCTTGCTCTGTTTGCATGTATGCTGCACTCGTGGTTCACCACGCTTTCTGGTAGCTGGTTATATATATGCAGGGAGTTGGCTGCTATCACCTGCACCTCAGTGCTGCCGCGTTTTAGGGGCTGTCCCACTATCCAGTGGTTCCTATCATAGTGTTTTGCCCTGGTTTTACCCTTCTGTGAAGAGTCCCCTTGGATACAAGCCTCTGCTATGAAGCTGATCCACACAAGGTCTTTGCTGGAAGTGAAGATTTTCTGCCTTCTTACTGGGATAATATCTGACCTTGTTGTTCCGTTTCCAAGTCTGGTGCATTTTTTTTTCTGTTGGCTAAAGGACTGACAGTCTGTTATACACATCGGATCCTTTTGGCTGCTACTGGGAATGAGGGAGGGGTACTATGAATGCCTGATACTTCAAAGTTTTTTGAGTTTCAGGAAGAAGCTCTTCTGCAGATCCTAAGTCTTTGATTGAAAACAGTGACCAGGGAAGTGCCTGAAGACTGGAGGAAAGCAAATGTACTCCTATCTTCAAGGAAGGCAACTCAGGTCACTAGAGGCCAATCAGCCTCACTCTAATCCCTGGGGAGGTGATTGAACAGCTAATCCTGGGAACCACTTCCAGGCACATGAAGGAGAAGAAAATCATTGGGAGCAGTCAGTGTGAGTTCAGCAAGGGGAACTCATATCATGTCCAACCAGCTTCTACAGTTAGATGACTGGCCTTGTTCAAAAGGGAAACTGCTAAGTTCTGGTGAAGAACAACCGCGTGCACCAGTTCATATGAGGAGCTTGTTGGCTGGAAAGCAGCTCTGCCGAAAAGGACTTAGGGTCCTTTGGTCCTTGGTGGATACCAAGTTGAATTTGGCCAGTTGATGGTAGCCTGGGCTGCACACAGTCATATCCACAGGGATGGACCATGAAGGTGATGAAAGCAATGGGATCATCTCTCCTCTTAGGAAAAAAAGGCTGGGAGTGAAGGGACTATTCAATCTCAGGAAGAGAAGTGTTAGGCTTTATAAGTGACCTTAAATCCCCAAGGTAAGGTGCAGCGAAGATATGGCTGGGCTTTTTTCAGTGGTGAATGGGATGAGGTTCAACAAGGCCAAGTGTCGGGTCCTCCATTTTGGCCATAACAACCCCATGCAGCGTTACAGGCTTGGGGATGAGTGGCTGGATGAGTGTGAAGAAGAGAAGGACCTGGGAGTGTTGGTTGGTGCTCGGCTGAACATGAGCCGACAGTGTGCCCAGGTGGCCAAGAGGGCCAACGGCATCCTGGCCTGCATCAGAAATAGTGTGGCCAGCAGGAGTAGGGAGGTGATCATCCCCTGTACTCAGCACTGGTGAGGCCGCATCTTGAGTACTGTGTTCAGTTTTGGGCCCCTCACTACAGGAAAGATGTTGAGATCCTGGAGTGTGTTCAGAGAAGGGCAACAAAACTGGTGAGGGGTCTGGAGCACAAACCTTATGAGGAGCGGCTGAGGGAGCTGGGATTGTTCAGTCTGGAGAAGAGGAGGCTCAGGGGAGACCTCACTGCACTGTACAACCTCCTGAAGGGAGGCTGTGGTGAAGAGGGATCTGGCCTCTTCTCCCAGGCAACGAGCAGTACACGGGGCAATGGCCGCAAGTTGTATCAGAGGAGGTTCAGGTTGGACATAAGGAAGAACTTCTTCTCTCGGAAAGTAGTCAAGGCACTGGAATGGCTGCCCAGGGAGGTGGTGGAGTCACCGTCCCTGGCAGTGTTCAAGAGGCGTCTGGATGACGTGCTGTGTGATGTGGTTTAGTGCTTGTGGTGGCAATGGTGATGAGGAGACGGTTGGACTGGATGATCTTATAGGTCGTTTCCAACCTTGTGATTCTTGTGATTCTTGTAATGATTTTTTTTTCCTGCTTAAGTATTTGTTTCCCTCATTTGGAAAACTTCACACTCCTTGTCAGGATGCTACCTTTGAAATTCTGGATAAGTATCTACTTGCATTACCTTGATAGCTGGGAGGGAATAGCTTAAATGTTGACTTGAGAGCTGACTTGACACCATGTAGATTCTTAGCATGGATGATACTGTCTGTGGTTCTTCAGTTAAGAGTCCCTGCCAGTTTCCATTTAAATCCTCACAAAAAAAAGCAGAATCTGACAGATGATCAGCCAGAATATTTGTGGGTTTGGAGGTATGGGAGCCCAACTATGCAAGCCTGGAATGTTTCAGTATCTACAGAGAGTGAGACTTCCAGTAATTTGTTCTATATCTTCAGGTTGCTTCATCTACTATATAATCAGTCAAGAAGTCAGGAAATAAGAATGAAGTCTGCGTTTAACCTGCTATTTGCTTTTACAGCGATGTTGTAATTAATGGTCACATCTGACCCATTTCTTCCTGTCCTGTTTGTTGCAGTGCTTCACGGCCATAGCAGAGCATTAAATGATCGTAGAGGAAGCCAGCATTAAGTGATTTCCGCACAGCTGGTCAGAAAAGCAGCTGTCTGCCTTCTCAGTGCAGCATGGCATTTGGACTTGGTGCTTTTTGCCTGCTACTATGGGCAATAACAGGTAGGAGCTTGCTTCTTTTGTTTCTGAGTCACTCAGAGGGAGTGAAGCAAGTGCTTCTGGAGTGTATGGGGATGAATAAATAAAATGTGAATAAGGCAAGAGTTAGGAAACCTTGTCTCCTCAGTGAGTTCTCACAAGTACAGCTTTGTATCTAGCAGCTCATTGCCGTGAGGGAACGCAGTTTTGGGTGGTGGTTTAGTGCCAGTTTCAAGAGGACTGGTTCTAATTGGGTGCATGAGGGAAGAGGGGATTAGAGGGAGAGTGCCGAGAGTTTCCTTTCTCTTTCTCTTTCAGGACAACAGTTTAGCAATGATGTATTGCTTGTGGTCTAAGCTTTTTTTAATTGTGGGGTATTCTGGGGACAGTTGATTTGTGAGAAGCATTCACATTTTCCACTTACCCATCTCCTCTTCAGGCATGTATTTCTTTAAAAAGACCACAGGAAAGTCCTATAAGTTTCTACTTCAGCCTCAGAAATGTATTTATAACTTCCATACTCAGAGAGATGGAGAATGATTGACTTGATGTCCAGGTAGAAACCAGTAATGGGTAGTTTCCCTCAGGGATCTGCACTGGGACTTGAATGTTTATCAGCAACAAGTACAGTGGGACTGACTGCACTCTCAGCATGTCTGTGAACAGCACTAGGCTGAGTGGTGTGTTTAGCACCCTGGAGGGAAGGAATGCCATCCAGAGGGACCTGGACAGGGTTGAGAGGTGAGCCTGTGAAAACAGAATGCATTTCAGCAAGGCCAAGGGAAGGTCCTACACCTTGGTCAGGGCAGTCCCAAACATGAATACAAGCTATGCAATGAGTGGATTGACAGCAGACCTGCAGAGGAGGGCTTGAGGGTACTGGTGATGTGACACTGAATAGAGCTGGCATTGCACACTTGCTGCATAGAAGGCAAATTGTATCCTGGGCTGCATCAAAAGAAGTGTAGCTAGCAGGAAGCAATTCTCTCCTTTTACTCTACTTTTATAAGACTCCATGGGCAATACTGTGTTCAGCTTTGAAGCTCCTTGTGCTGGGTGAATGTGTACCTTATGCGTTTGGTCCAGAGGAGGCCACAAGGATCATCAAAGGGCTGGAGCTCCTCTTCCATGAGGAAAGGCTGAGAGAGTTGGGGTTATTGAGCCCAGAGAATTGAAGGCTACAGGAAGACCTCACTGTGGCCTTTTAGTACCTAAAGGGGGTCTACAACAAAGCTGGATTGGGACCCCGTATCATTTGGAATTCGGAAAAAGGTGGTTGAGGGGGACGAACATTAGCTGCAGCTGTATGGTAGCTGTCTTGCAGTAATCATTAAGCAAGCTTTTTAGGAGAACGTAGAGCTGAATGTAGGGGTTTTTGTTTATTTTTGCTGGGGTTTTTTTGGTCAGTTTTTTTTACTAAACAGTAAGAGTACCCTTTTGTAAATAGCTAATTACCTCTGTGATACTGCTATGGACCCTGTAGCAGATACTCAGTGTCTTGAGGTAGAGGAGAGAGGGCAGAGGGAAGTGAGGAAACAACGAAAAGCCAACCAAATAAAAAATACGCACACTCTTCAGTAGAAGGTAATAATGTGCAGTAAATGCTGAATATTGGTGTAAAGAAAGTCATAGTTATGTTTTCATTAACATGAGTTGCCAGCAGACTGGAATATCTTTCATGTGCATATGTAGAAAGTCTTGTTTTCCTTCTGTGTCAATTTTGCTACCTCCTCCTTATTTATCTAGAACAAATCTGCTCCACTCAATCTGCTGTCTGTAGTCAAGCCTTTCCTTGTATCTCAGGAATGAGCACACACAGGTTAGGGGCTAATATACAAGGGTGCTCTGAAAGTAAGGCGTCCTATTTTATTATGTTAACCTGCAATGCCAGAGATGTATGTTGGTGGTACGGCAGTAGAGGTTGAACCTTCCTGCCAGTATTCTGTTACATTTTGTTCTCATTGTGAGATGGCAGCAGAGGGGCAGTCTGACAAAAATGGCACCTGACATGGAAAAGCATATGAAGCAAAGCGTGTCATTGAATTCCTCCATGAGGGAAAAGAAAGGCACCTCCTGACATTCCTCAATGCTTGCTGAACATTTATGGAGCCCAAACAGTGGATGTGAGCACAGTGAAGCAGCAGGTGGAGTATTTCAGCTGTGCTGTCAGTGATGTGAAAGGCAAGCCATGTTCCAGACAGCCATGCACAGCTGTCACACCACAAAATGATTAGCTCATCCCTTCAGACTGGTAGAGGAACCCATACAGAGCTGAATATCACCTTCAGTGCATTGAATACAATGATAGCAGAAAGAACACTGTCATAGTGTCTATAAAACAGTGGATCAGCTCTGCTGGTGCCGATTTTTATGAATGTGACATGAAGGCTCTTGTTCATCACTGACAGAAATGCACAACTAATGGTGGTAACCATGTTGGAAAAATATTGCTTTGTAGCTGAGAACTTGCTCTATCAGGTAATGTTACGGTGGTCTTTGTATCAGTTGTAGCTTACATGGAAATAAATAGGTCACTCCAAAAGTAATGTTTCCTACGTATTTGAGTATTATCCTTCCATTTAACACATTTCCATCTTGATAATTCCTGGCACTGTCCATCCATTTAAGGTCAGCTCCAAACTGAAAGTTATTTGCTGTTTTCCATGATCTGTTTGATGAAATATGTCAGTAGATGCTACCCGTTATTACATCAGAAGAGTGTTCTTTTTTTCTGTGTATGCTTTAAATAAGATGAATTGTCTCAGGTTCAGGAAGCTGCTAGATGGCCATTCTGCCATTTTTATCTATACTTGATGTTGTGCCTCTAAAGGCTATTTAATTTAGGAAAGGGAAAAAGAAATGCTGATGGAGGGAGACATGCAGGAAGGAAGGAAGAAGCTTAGGACCTCAGTCACTTCTATTTTTTTTTTTAAATCAGGCATCCTTTTCCACAGGTAATGAGGAAGCAGATTTAATATAAGAAAGGCAGAAATGATGAAGGGTCTGAAGCATCTTGCCTGTGAGGAAGAGCTGAGACTGTTCAGCCTGATGAAGAGAATGTCTGAGGGGGGAGGGATCTCAGTGTATCTGATGCATCTGGGTGCCCAGAGAGGCTGTGGAATCCTCCCCAAAAGCAACCTGGACATGGGCCTGGGCACCTTATTCTGGGTGTCCCTGCTTGAAGTCTCTTCCAAACTAAACCATTTTGTGATACTCTCTCCTCTTACTAGCTGGCATTTGTCTGTGATAAGTTTTTGCTACTGAGTGGTTTTGATGCAAAACAAAATTAGACCAGCAGGCAGATGACCTAATGGATATAGACATTTATCAGTGACCTTGACTAATCTTTATGGTTTGTAAAAGACTTAATCTGGCTGTGGCAACAGGGATTAGTGCCTTATATTAGAGTTCCATGTCTCTGTTGTGGCTTAACCTTCCAGGCAGCTCAGCACCACAGCCACTTATCCACCCTCCTGAAGTGGGATGGGGAAGTATCAGAAGTAGAAAAGTCCGGCTCTGTGCAAGCACTGCTGGGCAGCAATTAAAAACATTGCTGAGTTATCATCACTGTTTTCATTACAAATCCAAAGCACATCATAAGAGTCTGTATGGAGAGTATTAACTCTATCCCAGCCAGGCCATGACCCTCTCTTCATTCAGCACATCATGCTGTATGAATGCCTGACTTCCTAGATCTGTGGATGTAGCTCAATTTCTACAGGCATTCCTTATTTCACAGTTTTATTCCACTGGATTTTAATCCACTGGATGGTCCATTCATTGAAGAAATCAGCTTACACTGGAATAGATTTAAATCATTCTGGGCATTAATAAAATTAATATATATATATTTTTTTCCTATATATAAATAAAGACTATAAATTTAAACTGCCCTGTTAACTGGACTGACCTATGCACGGATATCTCTCAGAGGGAGAAGATGCTGCATACCACAAGAATGACAGTTTATTTTGCAGCTGGGAATTCAGTCTAGTTTCCCACTTGAACAGATATATGCTAACCTTGTATTTAAGACAGATCTTGCATAGCAATGTTACTGAAATGCATTTGTGCATCTATAAGAAAGGTCTCATAGCGGAGCATGAGATTTCACATATTATTTGTTTATACTGTAGTGCTTTATTCTTGGATTAGCAACCCCGACAAAAGCACAAAGATAAATCAGTAGCTATCTGCCAATGTAGGTTTTGTGTACTCTAGTCTTTTGTTTTCTTTTCCTCCATGCAGTCCACTTATTATTACATCACATCCCTTTATTTAGAAATACATTCTCCTAGATCATGTTCAAGGCCATGATTTTTAAACATGCTTGGCTACTGCTAGTCATGGGCTTTGTGAGGAAGAAGGTAAATAAGCATTTCTTCCCACGTACACACCAGTAGCCAAAGGCTGAGTGTCAAAAGACACTTTATTTTACATCAAAGACACTCAAATATTAGCCAAAAGCCAGCACACACAAATAAATGCCTCTAAATAAAAGGGAAGAATAGCACAACATGGTTTAGTTTGGAAGGGACCTCTGAAGTCATCTGGTACAGCTCCCTCTGCTCAAGCAGGGACACCCAGAATAGGATGTCCAGGCAGCTTTTGGAAATCTCCAAGGAGAAGACTTCACAGCCTCTCTGCACATACTGTGCCAGTGCTTTCTCATCCACATAGCACAGAAGTGCTTCCTGGTATTCAGAAGGCCCTTCCTGTATTCTTGGTACTAGGCACCACTGAAGAGCATGGGTCTGTCCTCTTTCTGCTCTCCCTTCAGGTGTTTGTAGACATGGATAAGATCCCTTCTAAGCCTCGTCTGTGCTAAACACTCCCAGGTCTCTCAGCCTTTCCACACAGGTGAGATGCTTCAGTCCCTTCATCGCTTTTGTGGCCCTTCTTTGGCCTCTCTAGTAGCTCCATGTCCACTCTTTTGGGGAGCCCAGAAATGGACATAGTGTTCCAGGTGTAGCCTCTCCAATGTTGAGTTAGAGGGGAAGGGTCACCTGCTGTGAATACTTAGCCTAACGCAGCCCAGGTTATCATTAGCAGCAAGAGTGTGTTGCTACCTCACGTTCAACTTGGTGTCTGCAAGGACTCCAAGGTCCTTTTCTGCAGAGCTGCTTTCTATCTGGTGCGTTCCCCATATGATGTTGATCCCCTTGATGATGTTCAGCCTGTTTCTGTAGCCTGTGACCCTATGACATATTAGACACTCCTGCCAGTTTTGTGCCACCTCTAAACCTGCCATGAGCACGCTTCTCCATCATCTAGGTCATTAATAAAGGTACAAGATTGTATTGATCCCTGGACTGTGTTGTTCATTACTGGCCTCCAACTAACCTGTGCACCAGTGACTGCTACTCTCTGGGCTATTCAGGCAGTTTTCAGTCCCCCTCACTACCTGCTCATGTAGCTTATACTTCATTAGCTTTGCTAGGAGGGGGACAGTGTCCAAGGCCTTATTGAAGTCTGTGAAGACAACATACACTGCTCCCCCTTCAACCATTTGGCTTTTAGTTTGATTATAGAAGCTCATTAGATTGGTCAGGTATGATTTCCCCTTGGTGACTCCATGCTGACCACTCCTCATGACTTTACTGTCCTTTATGTGCTTGGTTTCCAGGATTATCTCCATCACCTTCCTAGATGTTGAGGTGAGGCTGACTGTCCTGTAGTTCCATAGGTCCTCCTTGCCATTGCTGAAGATAGAAGAGGCATTTACTTTCTTTCAGTCTTTCTACACTTCTTGCCATTGCAATCAAGCAAAGACTACAGTGGCCTAAGAATATTTGCCAGCTCCCTCAGTTCTCATGAGTACACCTCATCAACATCTACAGACTTGCAGATATCCAGATTAGTTAAGTGTTCCTTGACCTGATCATCTACTAACAAGAGTGCATATTCCTTGCCTTTCCTGTAGACTCTGAGACTCTGACCTCACAGGACTTTTAGCTGTCCTGTGTGTTTTCCCTGTTCTGTTCAGTGAAGACCCCAAATATTCCCTAGTCTTCCTTTTGATACTGATGTACTTGAAGAAGCCCTTGAATTTCCTGTCCAGATTAAATTTCTCTTTTAACCTTAGCTCTCCTAACTTGATTTCTGCATGCTCCAACAGTGTCTCTGTATTCCCTCTAGATTACCTGTCCTTGCTTTCACCCTCAGTGTGCTTCCTTTTTGTGTTTGACTCAGGAGCTTGTTGTTCATCCATGAAGGCGTTTTTGCCTGGCTTCCTCCTCACTGAGACAGACTGCTCTTGAGTTTTGAGGAGGTGATCCTGGAATATTAACCAGCCTTCTTGGGCCCCTCATCCCTGCAGGATCTTATTCCACAATACTCTTCCAGGCAGATCTTTGAAGAGGCCAAAGTCTGCTGTCCTGAATTCCAGTGTTGTGAGCTTGCTATTGAGCTTTCTTTCTCCCTGCTCTGAGGATCCTGCATTACACTATCTCATGCTCACTGCACCTAACACCACCTCTGACAACAAGTCCCTTGGTGTGAGTGTGAGGTCCAGCAAAGCACCTTTTCTTATTGGCTTCTCTCACTTTGGAGGAGATAGTTGTCATCAATGCACTCCAGGAACGTCCTCGATTACTTCTCTCTGGGTGCGTTGCCCTTCCAGCAAATACTGAGGCTGCTGAAGTCCTCAGTGAATCCTATGATGAGGTTGCTGTCTGTAGAGTCTGAAGAGGCTGAGCCCAGCTCACTACATCCCCCCTTAGTTAATTATTGAGAGCAATAAGGTCTCCCTGAGCCTTCTCCAGACTAGACAATCTCAGCTCATAAGGCTTGTGCTCCAGACCCCTCACCAGCTTCATTGCCCTTGTCTGGACATGCTCCAGAGCCTCAGTGGCTGCTCCCCCCTCCTTGTTTTCTCAGCCTGACCTTCTTTAAGGGCCTGTAATGCTCTTTTGCAACACTCTACTTTTAACAACTGTGCCACCGTGTTGCTGTCTTCCCAAAAATATTTTAGCCCTGCTACTACATGCAGATCTCTTCACTCATCTTACTTAATCCCCATACTGTACAAGCCCTTCAGAGAAGAACTCCAGCATTTTAATCTAGAGCTCCTCTGGGTGCCCTGTCTGAAGTTGAGCAGTCATTAATCCATTAGTTAAACAGTCTTTTTCCAATGCTATCACTAATAATGCATTTTCTGCCACCAGAACTCACTTAACAACCATGTTATGACTTGCAAGGCAGGCAGGTCAAACACTGTCCTCCATTACTGTGTTAGTTCCACAGTAGTGGCATGATGTTTTCATGGCTGAGTTAACAAGCCTGATTGAAAACAATGCTAAAAAGAATTGCTGGTTTTACTCAGTAATTTTTTGAAGCACGATCAGGTTCCTCAAGTTGAATTTTGGAGAGATTTTGAACTGCAGTTGTAACATATGGAATGAGAAGATGTAGAAAACGATATAGTTTACGTTGATTCATGCTCAGTTTAAACACTTCATGCTCATGGTCTCTGATGTTCTCTGAAAATCTAGTGTCATTCCTTCCTTTGCAGTGGAGCTGTAAGTATTCGCACCATGGGAGCAAGCTCTTAGGATTCCTCATAAAATGGTGAAAGCTGCAAAATTTGGGGAATTCCCCTCCCTATCTCCAGATCTTTTATATTTAGTCCAGCAATAATGTGGGTGACCTTCCATGAAGTTCAAGTGAGATATCTGGTGTCTCAACCATAAATCCTAGCTGCTTTCTTTCTCAGTTGGAGCAATGACATGTAACTGCCTTTTTCTTTTTTTTTTAATAGCAACTTTTGCTGTGAAACATGTTTTTTGCTCACTTTGCTATGGTGGAAGTACCGCATGATTTTTTTTTTCCTCTTCCCTGCTCTGTTCTTGCTTATAGAATTACACCTAACTTTGATCTCTTAGTGATGGCATTTGTATCAAGTGAATAAGGAAGACTTTGTAAAATAGATTAAGATCCTACGTTGAGAAATCCCACCCAGTACAAGTGCTGCTGCAAATGGGCATGCTGTAAGAAAAGTAGTGGTTAAAAGCAGTGAGTTTATTTAAGTTGGGTAGCATCTGCCTTTTTCTTGTCTCCTGCCATAATCCCCTTTGGGTTATAGAAAACAATATTAGTTTTTGTTGTCGTGCTGTTCTTCATGCTGGCATTGTTTTTCCAGGTTCCTATTGCGAGCAGTGCAGAGAAGGAGCCACGTATTCAAGTGCAGTAATATCTCCCAACTTAGAAACCACTAAAATTATGCGAGTTCCTCATGCTGCATCAGTGTCTGAATGCATCACGGCGTGTTGTGACCTCTCTGGTTGTGACTTATCCTGGATGTTTGAACGGCGCTGTTACGTTGTGAACTGCCAGCACAAAGAGAACTGCGAACCTAAAACAATTGAGACGGTAAAGTCCTATCTAACATTTGTGCTGAGACCTTCTCAGAGGCCAGCCTCACTGCTGGGATTTGGGCAGGTGATCCCAAGCATCGTGCACTCTGTGGGACGTCAGAAAGAGCCATCTGAGGAAGTGTCTTTTCTTGGCAAAGAACTCAGCCTTGAGGAGATACCTGAATACATAGATGATTATAAAGATTTGGAGCAGGACCCCTTTCAGGTGAGCCTCAGACACGATCAGAAGGAGAGCACGGATTATGCTGACTGGGGCCTGATGGTAGCAGGTGAAAATGGCTTCAACACTTCAGTCAGCGACAATGGAGAAAACCAGGAAGAGGAAGCTGGAAAGGTCGAAAGCCTTCTAAGTAAAAACGCAACTGAATTGAGCTCTGTCAGTGAGCACTCCACAGAGAGGCTGTCTTCTCTCCCAGAGATTACACCGTTCCCTGGGAAGACATATGAAAGCAGAGCAGCTGTTGAGATGCTTACACAGCCTGCTGATGCTTTGCAAGAAAAGGTATGTGTTCCCCTTGAGAAGCAGGCAAGTGATGCCACGCAACAGTTGTTTTGTTCAGCAAGCTTGTAGTTTTGTAACATAACCCTGAAACTCAAGTGAGTTACAGTCCATTAGGGTGCAGAAAAGGCTGAAGTGGAGAGGGTTATCTTATAGGCAGATGAATCACTGAAGCACACTTCTCTTTCAGATGATGAAGAGCAGGACTGTTTCAAAGACTTTGTTGGGTTTCTTTGGAGCTATTCTGACAGCAAGGCTTGAACCTGGTAAAAGAGGACTGGTTTGGTGTTCTGCCCTTCTTATCACTTGATGTTCAATTACAGGTCATAAGCTTAGTAATGGTAGTGGTCCTGTCAGCATCCAAAGGCCAAGACCAGTAAACATAAGTTCCTCCATCAACAAAATCTTGTTCTACGGGATTCACGTTAGTAAATGCCTAAAGAGGTGTTGTAGATGTAATAGAGCTGAATAAATAGCTTTTAAAATGCTTTTAGAACATTTAGAAAGGTTTATAAGAAGGGACAGTGTTGGTTGCTCTGTTGGTTTGATTTTTTTTTTTGGACCACATAAACTGGGTAAATGTCTGTTCTCCTTAAATGTCTGAATCTTTCTCTAGTGTCTGCTAATAAGAAAAGCCAAAGTTAAAACCTGTTAAGTACTTTAAACCTAATGTAGATACCTAAGAAAGATGCACCTATTCCCTGTGTATGTTAGCAGATTTGGTCAGTTCTAAATAGTCTTTGGCTCCATCAGAACAGAATGGGATCAGTGGGAAAGTTGGAACAGGCAGTAAAGCCAGCGTCGGCTGTGTTTGTCATGCCTCAGGGGAAATCAAGCAGTGTCTGGATTTCCCTTAATTCCAGCAGGTTTTGTAACCAACAGTTGCCTTTCTCTTGCTGTAAAAACGCCAATTTTTTTTTTTTTTGCTATTGCCGTAGGGAAGAAAAAGACAAGTGAAGAAGGCAACTGATGTTCTTGGAAGGAATGTGTGTGTGTGTGCATGTAAAACTGCAAGTTTCTTAAGACTTGAGATCAGTCTAGCTGAGATACCATCATAGCCTAGAAGTGGGAGTAGATGATCTCCAGAGATCCCTTCCAGAGACTGCACAGGTCTGGTCTGCATCCAGGCGGGTCTTGAATCCTTCCAGAGAAGGAGAATCCACAACCCAACTCGACAGCCTGTTCCAGTGCTCCATTACCCTCACTGTGAAGAATTTCCTTTGCATATTGGTGCAGAACATCCTGTGCTCCAGTTTATGGCCGTTTCCCCTTCTCCTGTCCCTGCAGACCACTGAAAAGAGGTTGGCCATGTCCCTTTGATTCCCACACTTAAGATATTTATAAACATTAATCAGATCCCTTCTGAGTCTTCTTTTATCAAAGCTAACAGACCCAGGTTGCTCAGCCTTTCCTCACAGGGCTGCTCCAGGGCCTTTATCATCTTTGTGGCCCTCTACTGAACTCTCTCCAAGAGATCCCTGTCTTTTTTGTACTGGGGAGCCCAGAACTGGACACAAAACTCCAGGTGAGGCCTGTCCAGAGCAGAGTAGAGGGGGAGGATCTCCTCCCTGGACCTGCTGGCCATGCTCTTTTTAATGCATCCCAGGTATCTGCTGCCTTTGTGTGCCATAATAGGGAAAGTGTTTTCCTCTAGGTATATGGTCAGAAGTAAGTCTTGGTGGGAGAAGGTATAGAAAATATACTGTCCCATTCAGACTGTGTCTTGGGAAGGTGATGGGGCCTGAAAGAAGGGAGGGGTGACGGGCAAATCTAACATGGTCATTTCAATGACCTGCTTGGTCATTCCTGCATAACTTGCTGTGTCTTTCATTACATTTCTAGATCAGTTTACAAGGGTGGTGGTTAAGAAGAACTTCACTGCTTGTTGACTGAAGTAGAGAGATTTAGGGCACTTCATTAGAAGTGAGGAAAGTTAAAAAAGTCCTTTTCTGCATCTGAAGCTTGGGAAAAAAATGAGCATTTCCTATAGAGACTGACGGGGGGAAAGAAACAAAACACTCCTTCTTTGATAGATATTCTTCATGAATAAAACCTCCTGACTACTTAAGTTAGTAGGTGAACCCCACATTCTCTTTCCAGAACAGCGTACCCCTAAATCTGTAAAGGTAAAGAATGATTTATTTAAGACATTGTTTCCCTATAATTCATTTTTCAGGTTCCTTCTTATTCCCCTCCATCAGACAAACTGGAATTCTCCCTAGATGTGTCAAACAAAGCCCAGACTCCTACAGTGGCACCAGACAATGTGACTGAACATGGAATCATGCTGCTTTCCAGTAATACTGTGCCATCTGAACCCCTGCAGCAATTTACACCTCCTGCTACGGCTGCCAAAGCAGGTAATGTTTCAGCATAGCTGGAGAGGGCCTGCTGAATGGGAGGCAGGGAGGGCTTTAATACTGTCAGACTTGCATCCTTTTCTTAGTTACGAACTCTGTTCAAGTGCAGCCTCATCCCACCTTAAGCATGAAGTCCTGCAGTAACATTGGAAACTCCATCCCTTTTAGCTGGTTACTTCTGGAGCAAAATTCTGATCAAGCATATCAGTGGGAAATTACAACTCAAGCAACAACTTTGCAAAAAGCAGAGATGAAGAGCATTTTCTTAATGAGTTAATTTTTATATTGGTGAGAAATACCTAAGACTTTCTGGAGTTTCCCAACAGTCTCTTCTAGCCATACTGTTGTTTTTGTGTGGCTTCAGAATTCTGTTCATTCTCAGAAACTCTTCAGTAGGGTTCCCACCATGTATAGCTGTCAGATATCATGCAGGAACACAGGTGGGACTTGAGGAAGCTCAGCCCTTAACAGGGGAGAACAACACTTTGTCTTGAAAAAAAATGTTATGACTTCAAAGCTCTAAAAAGGCTTATAAGACTTCCAGCTGCAGGGCAAAAAGTTCTTACTTTGAAGAAGATGTCTTTAACCGCTTTGCTGTCTGTAATTGTGTTAAATTCTGTCTGTATGTTAGTGTAACTCCTTTCTTCTGGCAAGTTTCCCCCCTTCCTTTGTATCCTGGCAAAGGGTTAGAAGGGCCACAAGAGTCAGAGAAGCACAGACATATGTTTTTCTGTGCTTCTGAGGGATATGTAGAGCTAAGCACTTTGCTTCCTGGTAGAATGGGTCTGATTTGGGACATTCCTGGCACCTTCTGCCATGGCCTGGCTAGCAGGATGTAGATCTACTAGCCAGGTAGTAGTAGAAGGTAATGGAAAGAGATGAGTTGCAAGGGGGTTTTTCTCCAAGGCAATGAATAATCATTACCACTGAGAGTTGACTGGGCAGCTCCTCCTTCACAATAGCAGGCTAAAGAAGATTTAGAAAAGGTACTTGGAAGAAGCAGCTGAAATGGAAGGTTGTGATGAATCTCACTGTAAGTACTGCTTTGTATAAGGATTGCCTCAAGTTTGTGCTCAGCTTTACCATCTCAATATGGGAGACAGTGTCTCCTCTTTTGCTCATCATGCTCATTTAGCCATTTTATTCTCACCTTACGAGAGAGGTCAAAAGATTTTAGAAGCACAAACCTCCACTCTGCTGATGGCTAAGTCAACTTCTGTGAGCAATTCTAGAGCCTTAGATTGAAGAAGCAATGACAGAAGGTGTCGTCATGGCCTCTTCGCTGTATCCCTGTTTTGACCTGTCATCTGGCACTGCTAAGTCATCTCTTACTCATCTATTAAGGGTTTAAATTGGATGTCTAGATAGCATTAAGTGTTGCCTTTGGAGGACTTCTGCTCTGTGGACTCCCAGTATTCAGGAACAGATCTAAAACCTTCGAAAAACAGATCTGTGAGAACCTTGCTTGAACTTGTGCTTTGGTATGTTCCTGTTGGAGAGTGGGTTTGTGGACTTCAGTATTTTTGGAAAAGGAAACATTTTTCAACTGTTTCTGGATGACACACAGGTTGAATTGCAGTTTAGCTATGAGATAACCCTGCTCCACTAGCAGAATCTTTGAAAGTGACCCCATGAGCTGGGCTCTTGGCTATGCCTACCGAAATGCAACACAAATACACAAGTAGTGCTTCCTGGTGGAAAAGAGGCATTAGTTTTAGGGTGGACTCTATTAGCTAATTTAATGAAGTTTTGTGGTGTTTCTTTTGATTCTGATGATTCTTTTTGTACTCTGGACATTTTTGAACTCCTGTAATTCCAATGAATTAAGAAAAATGCGTAATTCTTTCTGCAGAGCAAAGTTAACTCTGATATATCAGAAAAAATCAGAACTCATAGAAGTAGGTGAAATTTTCATATTTAGGGAAGAGCAATTGTCTGGAATAGTTCAGTAAAAAGTGAAGTAGCCATAGTCATGATTATAATTACTATTTGATTATGTATCGGGGAATCTCTTTTTGTTTTAATTATCTTTGCCTGTTTGCCAAATTTTGCTTAATCTCTTGCAAATAATACTTGAAGATACTAAATCTATACCCATCCTGTCTTCTAAAACATAATGTTCTCATTCTGTCTTAGATACAGTAAAAGAACTTATTGTGTCTGCTGGAGATAACGTACAAGTGATGCTACCCAAAAATGAGGTTGAACTGAATGCTTTTGTTGTCCCACCACCACCAACAGGTGAGTTAAATGGCCCTGCCATACAGGACACGTTCACAGTACCAACTTGTAAATGCAGATGAATCCTAAGTTATGTGATCATCTGCACTTAGGGGGAAGATGTCTTTCTTATCTCCTCCTTCTACTGTTGTTTGTTTTGGTTTTTTTTGTTTTTGTTCTGGCTTTTGGTTTTTTTTGTGAATCCAATTGCTGAAAGCATTTCCTCCTTTGAGTTTCACATTTTGAAATGGCTCGTGTTTTCAGAATCTGAATTCATTAGCCAAATGATTCAACAGAAAGCCTGACATTTCTACCTAAAGATTATGTTGCCCTGGTTATAGCAACTTGTTTTTAAGCAGAGAGGGAAAAAAGGTGAATCTGAACACACTGATCTTAAAACCACCAGATTCTGAGCTACAGTAGCAAAGAATACATATTTCATAGCTAGCCATGTAAAATGCATTCACTTCATGTGAAGCTAGATTTTAAAGTTATTTGTGAAAACTGTTACTGTTGCTATTTTAGCAAGTTACAGCATACTATGGAAGCATAACTTGTATTTGTAACGCTTCATTTTTCTGTCTCAAACAATAGCACTCACGATTTCCTACTGTAGCATTTTATCTGACTGGTAGTGAACTTGATTTCTTTGTTGCCTGGACTTATGTAGAAGGGAAATCTGATCATTCTTTTATTGTGTTATTGCACTAAGAAACATCCTATAACTATGAGTGGAGATTAATTAGTCACCCTGCTGACTATGGTGGTGAAATGGAGCGCAGGTACACCCGGACACTGAAGCTCTCTCATGTAAGTGAACTGTAAGCTCAAGCTTATTTAGTTTGTTCAGTTCTTTCACAGGAATTTAACCTGTGATAAAGGGTGCCTTTGTTTGAGGAATTCATGTTACTTTGAGTTTTCTTCACTTGCATGTATCACCAACTCTTTCATAGATCTTCAGAAACACGCCATCTTCTTCAGAGCGCCCTCATAATTTTCTAAGATAGAGTAAAAATTCCTAAGTGTTGGCTTTGTGTTCCTCACCTCTAAACAGTAAACAGTGTTTCTTATGTATGGATTTATGGAAGGAACTCTAAGTTTCAGATATCCAGATTTTTCTATGTTTACAGCATGATTGGCAGATTGTGTGCGTGTTGCATCTGTATATTTCATCACGTAACTGGATTTGTTCTGTGTGTGCCTCAGCTGTCGGTGGGACTTTACGCCTTCAAAGTGACAGTTTCTGGTGAAAATGCCTTTGGCGAAGGTTTTGTAAATGTCACTGTCAAACCAGGTAAGTCAGTTGACTGAAAGAATTAATTTCTTCAACACAAGTGGTCATACAACGTGCTTGTGTAACGATCTGTCTTCCAAGGGCATTTAGAAATCCAGTTATGCAGAGATGTATTTCATGTCTTTCTGTCTTTAAAGCATTTTAAGGAAGTGCAGCTTAGGATCATGCCAAATGTGTACAAGGCTTGAGGTAGTATCGTGACACCTTCTGTGCTACAAGGATCAGGCTTTAGGTGCTCAACTGGCTGTAGCTGCATGTTACAGCACGGGTCTTTCCTGAGTTGTACCAGATGGAAGGGGCTGCAGCAGAAGCCTGGTGCTCTTCAGTAACCTTTTGTATCCTTTGGACAGCAGATATTGCAGAGCTGTCATTTTTAGATGTAGGTTACTGAGGACTATTGATTTGTAGAGTTACCAGATTATCTTTGCCCAGGTCCTCACAGTTTTTTTCAATCCTATCTTTCTCACAGCAATCAGAATTAACCAGCCACCTGTTGCTGTTGCTTCACCCAAAGTACAAGAAGTTTCTTTGCCTACAACTTCTACCTTCATTGATGGCAGTCGTATGTACTCGCTTACCTGTATTACCCTGTATTTTTAATGCAGTTAAAAACTGTTTATCCATACTGAGTGGAATTCTTTCTTTCCATTCAATGCACAGAAGTTCCCTGAATCATTATTCACGTTGGGAATTTGAGGGCAGTTATAAGTGGTTTTTAAAAAGGTTGAGTTAATTGGATGTATAAGATTGAATGATATTTATTCTAGAATGAGCTGCACTTGGAAGATTTTTATTTTCTGAAGTTTTTAGTTACAGAAGACATGATTACTTGACTTCGTGTATTCGTGGAAATATGGTCGGCACATCAAGACAGTAGTGGTAAAATGCAGCCTTCTACTTGTGAACTGAGATAGTGTGTGGCCTTAGAAGTTCTTTCTGTCCTGGTTGGGGTCCCCATTACTGGCCTCTGTGCCAGTCTGGGTCCATGATAGAGAGCTGACATGTTTTGATTACTGCTCCTCTGAGTTTGTTTAAAAGTTAAGCAAAGGTTTGCTTTTATATTTACTAAGAACAAACAAACTGTAGAATGTACAAGGAGTTGTAGACTGTCCCATCTGGAGTACTGCATCCAGGTCTGGGGTCCCCAACACAGGGAAGTTGTAAAGCTTATGAGCTGAGTCCACAGGTGAGCCATGAAGATGATCAGAAGGCTGCAGCATTTCTGTGAAGACAGGCTAAGGAACCTTTGTTTATTTGGACAGGAGAAGAGAAAGCTCTGGGAAGGCCTCATTGTGACCTTCCAGTATTTAAAGGGAGATTATAAACAGAAAGGAAAGGAACTTTATACAGAGATAGTGATAGGACAAGGAGGATAGTTTTAAACTAAAGGAGGGGAGGTGTAGATTAGGTGTCAGGGAGAAGTTTTTTACTAAGAGGCACTGGAACAGACTGCCCAGAGAGGTTGTGGATGCCCCATCCCTGGAGATGTTCAAGGCCAGGTTGGATGGAGTCCTCTTGAAACTGATCTAGTGCTTGATCTAGCAGTTGGCAACCCTGCCTGTGACAGGGTTTGGAACTAGGTGATCATTGAGCCATTTTGTAGTTCTGTGATTCATCCGCAGAGAGGCTGGCTGAAATTGACTTTACCTTTGTTTTTTTTTGTGGTAAAGCATTCAAAATGTAACTCATCATCTGGTTCAATAGCTATCGTACATGAACTGTAGAAAAACAGGGATCAGTGCATAAGAGACGTTAGTATTCATACAGCCTGATGTTACACAGGGTACTGATACATTTTTCTTTAATTCATCTAGAAAGTACAGATGATATGAAGATCGTGAGTTACCACTGGGAAGAAATTAAAGGTCCTTTGCGGGAGCAGAAAGCATCTGCTGACACACCTGTCTTGCACTTGTCTAACCTTGTTGTTGGAAATTACACTTTCAGGTACACCTGCATGGATGATTTTCTTTTGAGTTTCAGGCATTTCTGTGATGTCAGCTGGATGGGGGTTTTTTTGGTGCTTGTGCATACCTCCTTAAAGAACTTCATTTTACTTCTGTGTGCTCTTTGCCTTCATTTGATGGGGACCAGTTTCATTAAGAAGTACTTGTAGTGATTTTGTGACACTGGTATAGTGATGCACTGGAGCACAAACCTATGCAAATCAAGGTATCAGAAATTAAATAACCTCCTACTTCCTGCAATAATAACTTCAAGAGAATATATATATATTTTTTCAGATGAGACTAAAGTCAGGATGTGAAAGTCATCCCCTGAATAGTGGTGACAAACACAATAGTATTGGCAGTCTGATCCATGCAAGGTCCCATGCTGTGCTAAGTTTTGTAGTTCTTATCTTCCTAAATGCCTTTGCCTTGTTGCTTTTTTCTTCCAGTTAATTCTTGCTGGCGATGGATTTTGTCCAGAAGATAAAAACAATGTTTATAGTCCTGGCTGCTTTAATTAAAATCCGAGATCATTTTCTGTACTTTTTAATTTAGCACCTTGTCCTGGACTTGTGCATTTTTCACTGAATCACTCTTGGCTGCCAATGAGTAACAGCCTGCAGGTCAGTATGTCATGTATCAGTGCAGCATCAGCAGAATGCTGAAGCCTGTTGATGACCAGTGTATGGCATACCTTGAACATGGCCCTTCGCATAAGCATTGCCAAAAATTGTTTCAGCTTCAGTTCTCTGTTCTCTACTGGAATTGTTCCATATTGTACAATGGCAGAAGACTATTATTTTCTTTTCCTCTTTTGAAAAGGATAGGGCTCACGTACATTGCTTTTAAGCGTGCTCTGAACACAAGGGAATTAAGAAATCACTTTTTCCATATGCCTTCAGGATAGGCTGAGGTATTTGAGCAATCCAGCAGCCTATTCAAGCTCACAGGAAATTAGCTGGAAGATACTCCTAACACACTTGGTTGTGCATCCATTGCAAAAGTGTGCAGTTGCTGATGGCAGGATCAGTAAGCATTATTGTTCTCTTTTGGGGAAGACTTCAAGAGTGGCTCCCTTCCATGATTTTGGCTGTATGCAGTACTCACAAAAAGGGTGAACTGAAGATGTAGCAGGTTCCCACACCATGGAGAACAGTCTGTCATCACTTTCAGGTGTCACATTTTCAGATAATAAGTATATGATAATGCTGTGTTTCTGAAAGGCAGTAAAGATTGTTTAAAGCCTATGTTACAGTGAGTTTTGACTTAAGATTTCCTTACAAAATCAGAGCTGATAATAAGCTCCATTAGTATTAGTAGCAGTTTGTTGAAGAAATAAGAAGTTATGAGGTGTTACTGTGCTGTGATGAGGCAGAGTCTGTGAATATCCACAGTAGTGTTGGGTGCAGGGATTGCTCTGCAGTAGCAGATGAATGAAGTCACTGTTCTTTACTGAGTACATTTTTAAAGAACGTACAGCAAAATCTCTGCAATTTGATGGAGTTGCCTTTGACTGCATGGAAGAGGTTTCATCTGGGATCCAGAATAGATGTGCATTTTTTTAATAAACACATTGCAAGCTGTGATTGAAAGCAGTCTTCTGAATTTCTTCCCACCTTAGTTGAAGGCTGTGTCTTTCTACAGCGCAGGTTTGTAAAAATTAAATCAGTGGCTCTGTTTTAGGGAGTGATTTTGTTCTCTTTGAGTGCAAGCAAAATGGGAATCTTTGGCTTCTGACTTGTCAGCAGTCTGATCTACCAAATGTCCAGTCTTGCCTTTTTCCTGTTGTAGACTCACTGTGATTGATTCAGATGGAGCAGCCAACTCCACAATTGCGTCTCTGAGTGTCAACAAACCAGTGGATTACCCACCTATTGCAAATGCAGGACCTAATCAGGCAGTCACTTTGCCCCAGAACTTCATCACGTTGAATGGAAACCAGAGCAGTGATGACCATGAAATTGTCAGCTATGAGTGGTCACTCAGTCCCAGAAGCAAAGACAAGGTTGTAGCAATGCAGGTATGCCTATTTCTCCTTGCACAGTACTAGAAAGTTCTTTCATCTTTGCCTTTAATATGATGAGAAACATACAAAAGTAATTTTTCAGAAGAATTTAAGTATCCAGAGTGCTGTTGTTCCTTTCTGTTGTGTTCAGCTTTTTAGACTCTATTACTATTTGTGATTTTATTTTTCTTTTTTTTTTTTTTATCACTCCTTATGGCCATTTCTGTTCCCTGCTATTGCTTGTGTTCTGGTGGTTTGGAAAAAACTTCAGTTCACTCTGCCTAATCCTGGACCCTGGAGCTTGCTCCACAGATTTGCATCTTCTGAGAGGCTAGACGTGATGCAAACTTTTTTTTGAGAGAAGATTAGACTTGCCCAAGTTTTTGTTCAACAGTCCGTTTTCCTGGAAACTGTAGGACTCAAACAAGAACTTAATGTTCTGAGTGAAAACTTACAAGACTTTTGTCAATTTCTTGCTGACACACTGGTGTGCTTTTTGGTTCAACCTTAATAAAACACGGGTTTCCTATGAATGCTAATTGATTTTACTCTTTATTTTTTATGGCTACATATTTATCTTTTATCTTCTGTTTTTTTAAATCTGAGTTCTCAAATCAATACAAATATAATTTCAGTGCACTTAACACTCACTGGGGTGCAGGTTCTTGTAGATGATTAAAGTAATTAGTATAGTGACTCCAGCTTCAGAACTTCAGAAGCCATTTTTAAGAGAGATGTGAGCTCTCTGTGTTAAAAAGGCAAATGCTTTAGGCTTTCCAAACTGGAAAGAGACCACTTTGTATAGATCATTTTTAAAAATAAGCTCTGATGGTCAGATAATAATGTATCATATCCTTTAGTTCACATTAGACTTCCTTGAATAACTGTGATAATTGTAATTTTGGTTGATGAAGATGGAAAGGTTGATTCCTCATGAGATATGTAAATGGTCATTGTGTTAGCAAAAGGGCATAGAGTTGGGCCTAATCATTTTGTGAGCTTTTGTGTATATATATGTGTGTGTGTATTAACTAATAGTGCTGGAAGTATATGCTCAGAACAGAGTTGCTTTGTTTAACTTTTCTATTTCCATAAGCCTACCTGGCTGGAATCAAGTATGCTGTTGTTCTTTAGTGACTTATTTTTGCATTTAACTATTTTTAGAAATAAATACTAGATTAAACACTGTCATTGTTAATGTCCCATGTGTCTAACAATTATTGTTCAGAAATAATGCAGCAATTATACTAAAAGTTAAGAAATTAAGACTTTATGTTGATAAATATATCTCTGGATTGATAGACAGTTGCAGTACTGAATATATGACATCTGCCTGTACGTCAAATTTTAAGTATCCTCTTTGTCTGCAAGGTGCTTTTGCTCAAGTCATGTACTTATTTGGAATTAAAATGTATTTTACTTTTCCTCCACGTCTGCTCTCTCCCATGAGTACTTTTTCTCATCTCTCTCTCACTGCCATGCAGGGAGTGCGGACTCCATACCTCCAGCTATCTGCAATGCAGGAAGGAGATTATACCTTTCAGCTCACAGTCACAGATTCAGCAAGGCAGCAGTCCACTGCTGAGGTCACTCTGATAGTACAGCCTGGTAAGCTGACTGACTGCAGGCATATCTGGGTCCTTCAGGGTGGACCAGCCTGAATGCCTTAGCAATGTCATCTCCTTATACTCTGATCTCCTTATACTCACAGAATCATAGAATCACCAAGGTTGGAAAAGACCTACAAGATCATCCAGTCCAGCCATGCACCTATCACCAATAGCTCCCACTAAACCATGTTCCTCAACACAAAATCCAGACGTTCCATGAGCACCTCCAGGGTCAGTGACTCCACCACCTCCCTGGGCAGCCCATTGCAGTGCTTGTATTGCACCATTCAGGTGGCAGTCTGGACATCTGGTGTTCCTGCATCAAGGACTCCTTCACCTCTGTTTCGTATCAAAACAAACAGTAAAAAAAAGTGCAGAATTCCAGGAAATCCAGGCAGTGATCCTGAAGGCTCCCATTGGCCTGATTATATAAGGCGCTATGCATGTTTGAGAGTACTAAACTAAAATGTAGCTTTCAGTTTAATACCCTGCTCAGCTGTTCACCGTGTCAGTCAGTGATTTGCTCAATTTCTTACTGTTTTGCATTTCTTCAAGAATCCTGGTGCAATCTGAATTCTCCGTACTTTTTGCCAGATGAAAAAATGAACTCTCTCAAGCAGAGAGTTTCAAAAGCTGCTTCTTTCACATCATTGTTTAGATTTGGGAGCTGAATGATGAGTAAATGCAAGTGCACCAGGCCTACAAAGTATTTTTTTTTTTTTTCCAATTTTTGATAATATATTTGCATATTGCAGGTTCTTACATCTGAAATGGACATTTCTGCTCATGTGAAGGTCTCATATTACACTGTGGAGCAGTGTTATGTGTCCCTCATTTTGCTCATTCTACAGCTACTTCTAGAACCATTGAATGCATTGGGTTGGAAGGAACCTTAAAGATACTCTAGTTTCACCCCTCCTGCCATGGGCCAGGACACTTCCCACAAGACCAAAGCCCCATTGAAACTGGTCTGGATCACTCCATGAGTGGGGCATCCACAGCTTCTCTGGGCAACCTCTTCCTGTGCTTCACCACCCTCTGAGTAAAGAATTTCCTCTTAAATGTCAGTGACCCTTTTTAGGGAAACTTTGCAATGGGCATTTACCAAAGGAACCAGGAATGTGAATTGCAAGTACAACATGTATAGGTGGTATGTTTTAGATTGGTGACAGTGTTGAAGTAGGAAGGAGCTATTGCTGAATTCAGGTTAAAGTGGAAATGAATATACAGGAGAATAGTAGTGTTGGTGGTTTGCCATGCCACAACAACAACATTTGGGAACAGAATAATAAGTTATATTTTTTCACCAAATCCTCAAAGGCTCGAAATTGAGACTAGCTTAGTGGCATTGCACAGACCTTGAGCACCAGGAAACTTGGCCCGGTATCTTCTTTACCACATTTGTGTGGTCACAGTGGTGGAGGCAGATAAATACCACACCACTCCTGTCATAAAACACTTTTATACAGTGTACTTGAGCAGACTAAAGAGTTCATGGAGTGTTACTGTGCCTTCAGATGTGACTGAGACAGGGAAGAACGTGCTGTGGAATTTCACTAGTTGCAGAGCTGGTCTCTCCCACCAAGTACTTTTTATTGATTTGTGTGTGCTATATGCAATCACTAGGAAGTGGTGGAACAACTTAATCCTAGAAACCATTTCCAGGGACAAGAACAACAAGAAAATCCTCAAGCTCAGGTTCACCAGAAGGAAGTCATGTCTAACCAACCAGATAAACTCCTGTTATCAAATCACCAACCTGGTTGATGAGGGGAGAGCAGAAGGGGCTCTTATTGGCATATATACCCAAAGGGAGTTTGCAGAGAAGATGGAGTCATACTCTTCAGTGGCATCCAATGCCAGGACAGTGGGCATAAACTGGAACACAACAGGTTTCCTCTGAACACCTGGAACACCTGTGTGCTGTGTGGGTGATGGAGCACTGGCACAGGTTGTCTAAACAGGCTGTGGAGTCTCCTCTTGGAGATCTTCAGAAGCCTGAACATTGAGCCTGGACAACTGCTTTGGGTTTCCCTGTTTGAGCAGGGGCTGGACCAGGTGTACCCAGAGATGCCTTCCAACTTAAGCCACTGTGTGGTTCTCTGAATCTCTGGTTCATGCTTTTTGAGCCTCCTGGCAGGCTTCTAATTTTATATTCTGTGTAAAATCTTGCTGATTGACAGTCTTTGCTAGCGACTAACCAGCAAGTGTGATACATTAAATCTTATTTTTACAGAAAATAACAGCCCTCCAGTAGCAGTGGCTGGCCCTGACAAGGAATTGACGTTCCCAGTAGAAAGTACTACACTGGATGGAAGCAGAAGCCAAGATGACCAAGGCATTGTCCTCTATCATTGGGAAAATATCAGGTAATCAGGTACCTAAAGAGATATATTACTAATCTACAGTTTAGAGGAAAAAAAAAAAAAAGAGGGAAAGAAAAAAAGAGAAATTACTTGACTTCCAGAGCCTCTTAATACTGTTGAAAGTATTTGAGTGTTTGAAAACTGCTTTGAGAGTTTCCCTCCTTAGGTGGTAAAAGGTTGAGAGATAAGAATTTTAAATTCATCTAGGCTTGCTTATGTTTTATTCTGTGTCATCTTGAAACCTGGAGTCACAAAGTTATTTTATGAGGAAATTATAGGAACTCTCTTATCTTCCATTAAGGAGGGTAACAGGCAGAGGTGCTCTCCTGTAATGTGTAATTTTTTCCTGTCATTGCTTTCATAATCTCTTCAGTTTGTTGATAACAAAGGAAAAATTATCCAAACAATCCCTTTAGCCAGAGCTTTCATTAGAAATGACTGAAGCAGTCTTGAATAGTGATTAAAAATGCTGTAGAGAAGCTTGTAATTGTATGCTCAAATACAGAGCTAATTGATCCTTAATAAAAGAACAAAGGTATTATTTTGTGCAGCTGTCCTGTCCACAGTACAGAAATGAATTTGTTGGCACCCACTATGTGTTGTAAGTGACTTTTAGGCCAGCAGCATTTGCATATGCTCCCACAGAACAGTTCAGCAAGGAGGCTGAACTGAGGTGCATTTTCTGCTCTTCTAATGATGGTATGTGTGCTGCTTGAGTGTTTTGAATTTCTAGAAAAAGAAGCAATTATAAACTCTCTAATCTAAACTCACTGTGTTAATTTCTTTACTGTCAGTGCTTGTAGAAGTGATAGAACCCCAGTATCCATAACAGCAAATGATATGAGTGGTGCTGCTCTGAGAGAATTTTGTCTGGCTTTGACAAATTATTTTTATGAGATGTTTTGTTTCAGTGGGCCAAGCTACGTGCAGATGGAAAATGGTGACAAAGCAATAGCAACTGTGTCTGGTCTTCAGGTTGGCACCTATCGCTTCAGACTGACAGTTAAAGACCAGCAGGGGTTAAGCAGTGCATGTGTGCTGTCTATTACTGTGAAGGAAGGTAAGCCTATTGCTGCTGCTTAGGATGTAGTAGGCAGCTTGCCAGTTAGTTTAGTCACTGACAATGTAAAGAAACTCGGAACAGGAACAGCTAATGTATTTGTTGTCGTCTTTCAAGGGATTCAAGAAGAATAACTTCCATTTTGTAATAAAGGAGTATTGCAAGTAACTGCTAAAATCACTTTCTGCTTTTACATCTCTCTGCCTTCCACCCCACCCTTTCTCTCCCCCTCTTTCTCCAGCTAATAATCAGACCAGTGAGGCATTTCATTTATCATCACAGCTTTCCAGAGCTCTGTCTTATCAGTTTTGTTCTACACAGAAGTCAGTGATGTCTGACTTCTGGAAAGAAAATGTTTTCATGCTTCTCTCACAGTTCATGTTATAATTTCACTTTTGCAGTGAGCAAAAAGCATTCAGGATCTGTAGTTATTATTGGATACTTTGCTTAAATACAGATATGAAAAAGTAAGATTTCACATAAGCTTCTGTTACACAGAGCGCAGCATAGTGCTCTTGTGCTGAGCTGTGTTTCTGAGGCAGGTAGACAAAGGTGATCAGATGCAAAAGTTACTGTGGGACTACGAATAGAGTACCCTACAGTGCTTTGAAATATATTTTTTGGATAGTGTTTCTTGTCAGTGTTCTATTCAGGGTGCAGAGCTGCTTTTGTCAGATTATTGTAATTCCTGAGCCAAATTCTGTATACCCGCTCATCTTTTTCCTGTCCCTTTGATACAAGATTCTCTTGTTAGTGCCTGTAATCATCAGGGTAGAGAATTAAAGAGTGGGTGTGTTGGCAATGGTATATCACATCTTGCATGAATTGAAAGCAAATTCTTCTCCACTACTTTTATGGCTAGAAAACAACAGTCCACCCCAGGCACATGCTGGTGGGAAGCATGTTCTGGTGCTTCCCAATAACTCTGTTACCTTGGATGGCTCAAGATCTGCTGATGACCAAGGGATTGTGTCATATCTGTGGATTCGGGATGGTCAAAGCCCAGCAGCAGGGGTAAGTTTTTTTGAAGGTTTTAATTGGATTCAAATTCAGCTCTAAAGTTTGTTGTTCACTGCAGAAGGGCAAGCAGGGATGACTCATGAGATGCAGCAGAGGATGCTGTCTACATCTGATTTATCTCCTCAGCTCTCTCTAATGCTTTGGTTCAAGTAGCTTGTGTCATTTTCAGTAGTGCAAATTGGTAAGAACTGCGAGAGGAGAAGGGAAGATGATAGCAAAGCTTCTAGAAGTAATTCACTTAAGTATATGAGGAGGACTGGAGGGATTTCAGTTACAGCTGGCAGAAATGTTGAAAATTCATAAACTTCAAGGAGAGGAAATGATATATAAGAAAGCAGAACTAATGATACTAGAGTAAAATTGAGAAATAATAACGTGACTGTCTCAGGCTTTCAGGTAGATGGGGACTTGAGGATGTCAGCTGTTCTATCCGAGGTGTTTTTTATTTTGTTTTGTGTTTTGTTTTAATGAAAAGAATCTGTATGCAGAGATCCTTATTAACTCCCACTTGCAAATTTGCATTATTCTGCTATGAATTGTGGATAGGTCACATTTGTCATAAAGCTAAAGCAAGAGCTCACACTGTCATATCAGATACCTGAGTTGATATTCGTATCTGCAATTTCATCTGAGGGTATAACCATGCTGGTGCCTGTTTTTGCAGGATGTGATCCTTGGCTCAGACCATGAAGCAGTATTGCAGCTAACAAATCTGGTGGAAGGAATCTATATTTTTCACTTGCAAGTGACAGATGCCAAAGGAGATTCAGATATTGACTCTGCTACTGTTGAAGTGCGGCCTGGTATGACAATTAAAAGGTCATCGATACGTTGTGAATACCTCATCTTTGTTCTCCTTCTCTCTTCTTCCAGTGTTGACAAGATTTTGCCAGGCTAAAACACAAATAATTCTCTCTTCCTGTCATCTTCTTGCATTTCTCTCAGTTGGCATTGTGTGTGTTGAACAAGACGTGTCGGAGTTCTTCTTTCCCATTTGCAGCATTGCTCTCCTAGATAAATATATGAAAATTACACATCTTACTCTCTTAGTTTCAGATGAGACAGGATTGCTTTATTTGGAGTGTCTGCTATTATGCTGTGTTTGGGTTCTAGGAGAAAAACAACATTAATCACTCACTGATGTTTATACTTGCCTGCTAAGCCAAGGCTGTTCACAGCAAAGAGCCCAAGGAGCTGGGAGGGAATAGAATTAGGACAGCTGACTTAAACTGGTCAAAGGTATATTCCATACCATATGACATCAAGCACAAGTTTTGTAGAGGGTGGCACTGCATCTTGCTCTCTTCCACTGCTCAGAGGGTGGTGGTGAGCAATTGCTTGTGCATCACTTGTCATATACGTTTTTATATGTATACAGTCATGACTATTTTCCTTTGCTTTTTCTCTGTCTTAGTAAATAGTTTTATTAACCCACAAGTTCTACTTTTTTTTTATTCTCTCCCCTGTCCCATTGGGAAGAGGGGAAGTGAGCAAATGACTATGTGATGTTGAGCCACCTACCAGGTTAAATAACAGCACTTAATGTTTTCATTTAGCTACTTATTGGTTTTCTGTCATACATTGTAGTTTCTTGTTGTTTTTTTTGTGGTTATTGATGGGTTTGGCAAGTAGCAAGATGTGAACTGTGCATTAAGTTTAGGTACAAATGCTGCAATAATGTGTTTGTGTTGGCTTTTTCCTTCTCTTATTCTGAAGAACAAAAACAAACCCCCAGGACTTTCAGAATGTTTTAAATTGGCTTGTCATGGTCTGATATTGCTCATATATAGTCTTGTCTTCAATTGTAAGCTCGGTGGTTATGTGATGGAAACAATGAGTTGGGTTTTCAGAAAATTAATGTGAGGCAAGTCTGTCAGATTTCATGTTTGTCTGGTTCCTGGGGAATTATTTTATTTCTTCCTCACTTTATTATTGAATGTAGTCATGTGGGAGTTGGCTCAAAAGTATCATTGCATGTCTGGGAAGCTTGTTTCGTTTGCAAATGCAAATATTATTTGAATATATTTCTTATGTTTGAAGAGAAATATTTTTGGTATTTCTGAATCTGACTGTCCCCATTTAGGCTCATTCCCTAAGTCTTGGATACTACCCTGTGAGTCTGTCTTTGTATCCCTTTTCCTCATTGGTAGCCAGTAGATCACTGGCAGGTAACTTAAAAATTAGACTTACCTAGCACTTACCTCAGACCTTCACGTGGCAGCATTATGGGAAGCAGATGTTGTTTTTCTGCACAGAGATGTGGTAATGCTGAAATACACACTGCAGTGTTTTTTTCCCGAACTGATAAAAGGTGGAATTGCTATCTTACCAGGTTTATTTCAGAAATAATGTGAAAAAGTAGGCTAAGTACTTTTGTAGGAACACAAAGGGGCTGTCTTATAAGTGATGTTGGTCTTATGCAGGGAAATACAGTATTGATAAGTAATTGTAATACCACATGTTGTCTTCATTCAGTGCTGAAATATTTTCCAGGCTCTGATACCAGACCGTGTCTTTCTTCTGTTAGATCCCAAAAAGAGTGGTCTGGTGGAGCTGATTCTGCAAGTTGAGGTGGGACAGCTGAGTGAACAGCAGAAGGACACACTGGTGAGACAACTAGCTGTATTGCTGAATGTCTTGGATTCAGATATCAAAGTTCAGAAGATACAAGCATTCTCAGATATAAGGTACAAAGATGCCCTGCTGTGCCAGGAAGATTTATGATTTTCATCAAGTCTTTCACAGCTCGCAGTTAGTTGCAAAATATTGTAGAAAATGTTATTGAAGATGCTATTGTGTATATTTTAAGAAGTGAGTTTCCTCTGTTGTGGTAGGAAATTGATGAAGTGAGCTCTCCAAGAGCTTGGTTTTTGAATATTTTATTTTAAAAAATCCTCTGCATATATTATCTTTTTTTATTCCCTTAATTATCTTTTATTCCTTCAAAGAAAGTTCATGCAGAATTTCAGTTTCTCTGTTGCATGTAGAGTTACTATTTTTCCCAAATGCTGGCTGGAATAAGATGGACAGACCTTCTCACAGTGAAGCAAATACTGTATTTCAAACTAACTTTCCAGCTGTATCTGATCACGCTTACTTTGGTTCCCCTTTTTTCCTCTCTAAGCTTCTGATACTTTTAAGTACCTTATATGCATTTGCCCAGGTTACTGATCAGAAAAAATCATTTTTTCATAGAAAAAGGAGCAGATTTTGCAGTATTCTACATACAGTATCCTACTCCAAAGTAAATATCTTTTTTATTTGTGTTAGAGGGGTGGAAGTGGCCAGATGCAGCATGATTGTTAAAAACCTGTTGACATCATACTCTGAATTACCTCTTGTTAACTGCTCGGTGATTTAAAAATCTATTTCAGTATTTATTCACCTCTCTGGGAAGCTCTTAACATTAAAAAAAGGAAAAGAAAATCCAGTGTCTATAGCTATAGTACCTTTAAGTTCAGGTTGAATATTAGGAAGAAAATTATTTTAGTGAGAATCATGAGGCATTGGAACAGGATGCCCAGGAAAGTATTGGAAGTCAGCATGTCTGGAGATTTTCAAGGAAAGGGAGATGTGGCACTGAGTGACAGCTTGTGATAGATTAATGGTCAGATTAAATGAACTTTAGTTTTCTTCTCCAGCCTTAAAGATTCTGTGTTGAATTGCAGCTTCCAACTACTACTTGTCAACTAGAGCTGTTCCCTGAAGCACATGATGTTGGATGAGATCAGTACTACCAACACTTCTTGAAGTTTCTAGATTTCCTCTGACTGCTTCAGGATGCTTTGTGATAGGTACTAGACAAGTGGAGTGAAAGCAGACATTGAGTACATTCTTCTCATAAAGTGAGAGTCAGGAAGACCTTTCTTGTTCTCACTCTCCTGCTGTGAAGAAACTCAAGAACCTACTGGTGCTTCTGGCTCAGAATAAAATAGTTGCTGTAATATTTGGATAGAGCTGGCTGATGTATAGACATAATTCCCTAATCTGTATCAGTAGTGATGTTTGCTTTTCAGAAACAAGCAAAACCGAAGGCTGTCAACTGAACACCTGACAGAAGTAATCTCAGACAGCAGCCCTAACCCATACTGTTCTTTCTACAGCACTGCAGTTGTGTTTTACGTGCAGAATGGGCATCCTTCCAAGGTGATCAAGGCATCAGATGTGTCTCGAACTCTGCACGTGCAGCTTCTGAAAGAGAAGGCTGACTTTCTGCTTTTTAAAGTCCTGCGAGTTGACACAGCTGGTATGTTTACCATCTGGTGCCTGGGATTTTTCTTTCTGGAAGATGACGTTGAGGATGATACTTAAAATGCATGCTCATGTGTGTTAAACCAGTACCAGTTACTTGTGTTCTTTTAAAGATATGCTTTTGCCTGCTGTTATGGATAAAGCCTTATCTGACATAGATTAGGAAAACCTGGGAAACAAGGAGAAAGATACACTACTCGTATAATCTTTTGTTGGAAGATGAGCAAACCTCACCATAGCCATACTATAGAACGTTCCATGTCTCTTCAAGGCTTTTGGTGTTCAGTAGTAGGTGTATAAATGGTCAGCTCATCACTGTGTTCACACTGTCTTCTAAGGAGATTGTATTTGCATCATAAGTGGGCCCTAGGGGGTTTCATAGTGAACTTTTGCTTGAACTTCAAAGCCTAGCCTGACGTTAAGCTGTAGTAGTAACATGACCCCTGTATGACACTCATATTACAGATATGACTTCCTCTATCATTTAAAAATCAGCAGATAACAATCCAAATGCAAACAGAGTATGCAACTGTAGCACTAAAAGTAGTCGTAAATTCTGATTTTGTTCATGTGTTGAAAAGGGCTGTTGTTTTACTGTGAACACACTTGGGTTACCAGAATATATAGGCATCACTTGAAAATATTGCTTAATAGTTTGCTGCACACAGCAAATCTGCCACTACAAGTTTAAGAGGAATAACCTTACTTTATTCTAATGTGACATGTTGTTCTGTCAGATTATGCTGTAAGCATATGATGTATCTGTATGTCTACAGATTCTGCTGTAAGCATATGATGTGTAACTGTTCAGATCCTTCAATTCAGTTACGAAATACTGAAATGCACTTTGGTGGTAGTGTGATGCTTGTCTTACAATGCTTGGTAACACTGGCATTCCTGAGATCTCAGGTACTCTAAAAGTTCTTACAAATATGTCATAAATGAAGGAGGAAGTCTGAACTCTGCAACTTCAGCTCATCATTACTTGTGGTTGGATGAATCTGTTCTCAACTTGCATGCAATTTCAGCATTGTATGCATAAGATATTCTCACCTTTCTCTTCACAGCCTGCTGAAACTCACACCTGCTTAATACATGACATCAAGAAGGTTATGAATTAGATGCTTTACCACCTACCTAGTCTCACAGTAAAGGAATGCATAGCAAGTTGTCTATTTATACAGCTAACTTACGTTTGTTATTGCTCTTAGCATGTCTTTTAAAATGCTCTGGACATGGGCATTGTGATCCTATAACAAAGCGCTGTATTTGCTACCAGCTGTGGATGGAAAACTTAATTAATCGTTATCTAAATGATGGCGAGAGTAACTGTGGTGAGTCATTTTTCTTTTTGTGAGACTATTCCTATTTGCTAACAGAACAGGAGGTAGATGCTGGAACATAGATGTTAGAACAGTATCTTTATTGTCCAACTTGCCAGTATCCTTCTATACAAAGAAACATCTTGAGATTATTTCACTCATGTCTTGAAATATTAGAGACTTATAAATAGTAATCCTTAATTTAAACTTTTTGAATATTTTAGGAACAGAATTTTAAAAGTGTCACGGAGTGGAAAGTGTAAGAATTTTAACTATCAAGGGTGAGAACTTGAGTAAATTTGGGACCGTGTGGCAGGTTTGTTTGATACTGCGTGCGTTGCAAAGCTCTGGGGTGCATTCATCAGATTTTTGCAAAGCTGAAAAAGAAAGCAACAACTTACATTTTCTAAGTTATTGTTTGATGCTTCCGTGCCAGAAGCGTGACCTGACCTAAGGAAAGCAAACTCCAGTGTTACAGACTGAGCAATATAGTCATCTATTAATCTTTAACTTCTTAAGCTGATTAATTACACTGTGGTTTGTTGGGTTTTTTTCACTTTACCTGTTGCACCTGGAAATCTAGTTTCATCATTTTAATCACGTCTGTATTCCATGGCACACCTAAAAAATCAAGTTGAATATTACATAGGGACCTCCTATCTAAATTAGTTTAAACAGTTTTAATTTAATTAAATAGGTATTTTGTGTAGTTGAAGAAAAGCTGAACTTTTAGTACTCTGAAGACTTAGAGACATTTTGCTGAGCAATGCTGTAGCCTTTAAGTATCACAGAATCTAAGGGGCTGGAAGGGACCCATTGGGATCATCAAGTCTAACCTCCCTGCTGCAAGGTATGAAGTAGAAGCACTTAGTAGTTGCCTCTGACCTGTTTTCAGATAATCCTAGAAAGGTATTTAGTCACAATCTGATAGTAAGAAAGGAATATCTTACCCCACTCTGAAGATAAGGACTCACTGAAAAAAAACTCCCCAAGGAAAACTGTCTTCTAAGTACAGAGATATTTCCCAGAGCCTTAAACTGCACCCCTTCCAGTTGCACAGGTGAGCTGCCTGTACCTGTGCTCCCAGGACTGGCCAGTCCTCTTTACTAGGTGCTCAGTCATTGGTTCAGGCTGTGACCTAGCAGTTCCCATACACTACCAAGGCAGGTGCCCTGGAGTAGGCTGCACAGGAAAGTGTCCAGGTAGGTTCTGGATATCTCCAGAGAAGGAGACTCCACAGCCTCTTTTGGTGGCTGTTCCAGTGCTATGTCACCTTCACAGTAAAGATGTTCTTCCTTATATTTGTGTGGAACTTCCTGTTTTGCAGTTTCTGCCTGTTGCCTCGTTTTGTCACTGCACACCACTGAAAAGAGTGTGGCCCCATCCATTTGACTCCTGCACTTGAGATATCTTAAATAGTGATGAGATCCCTTCTCAACCTTCTTCTCCAAGCTGAAAAGTCCCAGATTTCTCAGCCTTTTCTTGGTTCTGTTGACATACTTGAAAAAGCCTTTTTTGTTGTCCTTGACCTCCTTTGTCTGATTTAATTCCAGGTGGACCTTAGCCTTCCTCATTACATTTCTGCAGGCCCTGACAGTGTTCCCGTATTACTCCCAAGTGGTCAGGCCCTTTTTCTAAGATTCATAAACTTTCTTTTTCCCTTTGAGTTTTTCCATGAGTTCCTCGCTCACCTACAGAGTCTCCTGCCACTTTTGCCTGATCTTTTACTCTTAGGGATGCACTAGTCTTGAGCCTGGGAGAAGTGGTGCTTCAATGTCAACCCAAAAAGTAATGCTGTAGAAATTGATAGGAAGCACATGGCATTTGCTGCAAGCTGTGAAGTAAACTGTGGGCAAAGTATCTGTTAGCAGTGGTTGCTAATTTAAAAATCAAAATGTGCAAGTAGAGGAATCTGTCACTGATCAGTTGTTCTCTTAAAGCATTGCTGAAATGTCAGACAGGGTACAGCTATGTTTGAATTAGAGAACGAGGACTGAGATGGTTACATTATCCTCTTGAATTCCAGCACACGAGAGAAGAGGCCGACCCCCAGCTCACTACAACCTCCCTTCAGGAAGTTACAGAGAGCAATGAGGTCTCCCCTGAGCCTCCTCTTCTCCAGGCTGAACATTCCCAGCTCCTTCAGCCTCTCCTCATATGGCCTGTGTTCCAGACCCCTCACCAGCTTTGTTGCCCTCCTTTGAACACGTTCCAGGGCCTCAATATCTTTCTTGCAGTGAGGGGCCCAAAACTGGACACAGTACTCGAGGTGCGGCCTCACCAGTGCTGAATACAGGGGAAAGTGCTGAATATAGGGGAAAGATGATATGAATATGAATATAGGGGGAGATGATATGAAGGTGCTGATATCTCCTGTACTCCTTGTGTTTCTTTTTTTCAGAGTGGAGTATACTCTATGTGACTCTGTCTGCTTTCATTACGATTGTGATCTTGATAGGGCTTGCCTGGTTCTGCATCTGCTGCTGTAAAAGGTACGTGATTTGTGTTTCTTTTTAGTTGGGGTATAAGCAGCAACTGCACACAGCTGCCATATTTTAGTCCAGGCCTTAGCATTAAACCACTCAACTCCTTACAAACAAAGCTTCCTCCAGTTGTTTCTGTGTATATATTCTTTCCTTCTTTATCTTTTTTTTTTTGGGGGGGAACAAAAAAAAGAGGAATATCTTTCTGTGGCTGTTTGCATTCTTCTGTATTTTGAAAAACAAAAAGCCAATGCTGGAACATCCTTCAAATTAAGAGTTTATTTATGTCAAAATGCTGAGTGTGTACTGCAAATTTTCATGATCTTGTCACACTGAGTCCTCCAGCTACTCCATGCTAACAAAAAAAGTAAGTCACATCCTGAAGGTCACTGAGATAAGACATGCAGATGGAACTGCTCTCATCCTGTCTTTGACAGGAAAAGTAGGCATGACTGTATGTTTATTCTCCTCTGTACCCAACATCCTACCTTGTCTTTCCCAGTGAGCCATTAAGAAATTATTAGAAACAGAAGTCTGCTCAAATTCAGATAACTAGATTTTTTGCTGCTACGTGAAAAAGCACAGCAAAGAGATGCTAAAGTGTTATAAAAAATGATACATTATTCCTGGACTTTTAACTTTATCTGGGGTATCTTTTCAGTGCGTAAGGGTTGCTGTTTGAAATGCACAGGTGTTGGTATTGCTTTCTTTTTATGGTTGAAGAAAAAGTCCTATTTGGTAGAAAACACTTAAATAGGAGTATGTCTTACATAAGTGTGGGATGCAGCCTTAAAGGCTTGTGTCGATTTGCTAAGAAGGAGGGTGTTCATGGAGTTAGCTGCTTCCTTGCTTTTGTCCTCACATAAACACCTGAAACTTAAGGTGAGGATTTGCAGCTCTGTAGGAGTGAATGCTGGAGAAGAATGAGGAAAAACGAGGTCAATTTTTGGCTGCAGACCAGTAAAGCTTTGTTCCTGCATCTGTATGAGGGAGCCATTCTCTGTTTTTGACTGGTCTTCTCTGTAAATATGACCAGACAAGCTTTACTTAAACTCTCTTAGTTTTAAAACAACCAACCAATTAAGGACACATCTAAACAAGGAGCTAAGCAGTTCTTTCAGAAATTTTATTTGGGAACTGATAGATATGTCTATCTTGCATCTAGCTAATGTGTTGGAATTGAACAAACTGAACCTCTGTGGGCTAGGAAATAAGGTCAGCCTTTCCTGATTTCTTCATCTTTATGTATAAGACAGAGCAAATAAATTCTACTCTCTGGTCCAGATTGTGCAGCTGATTTTATGGGTATAAACTGGTACAACTCATCTTGAGTGGAGGTTCTGTATAGAGGGTATGTAGCCATGTGGGAATATAGGTGGATTTATGTGAGAGCTAAATATCTTTGTGGTAATTTCCTTTTTAGCAGAAAGAGGACTAAGATAAGAAAGAAAACAAAATATACCATCCTAGATAATATAGATGAGCAGGAAAGAATGGAGCTACGACCCAAATATGGTAAGAGCTACCTCTTTATTCAAGCACTGTAAGCTGAATTCAACCACCAAGTTCACAGTCAGTGGTTCTAAATTGATGTGTACAATCAGGAGGAGCACAGAAGCTGGAGTTGGCTGGGAGTTGACAGAGGCAAGCATAGATGGAGAAATGATTGGACAAGAATGGCTTCATTCCTCTCGCAGTGCCTAGGGATCAGACAAAGTTCCGAGCTTCTTCACTAACTGTAATTTAGCATCTGATTGTCCCTCAGACTTTTTTCATGTAACTTCCTTTCCCTCACACACACGCTTCGTAATTTAGATCTGATTTTATCAGTGCACGACGATTCCCTTCTGGATCATAAGTGCCTTCTTAAGCATCAGGTACTCCAGCTGCTAACCCCTGCTCACGTATATTTTAATTTACTTTATTTCAGTTTTTAGAAGGGAAAATATTAGAATCCGGGGAAATAAAATCATAGTGAGAAATAGCTTTTGAAATAAGAAAAATGTAAGATTTCTCTAGAAAATATGACCTCTCATTGCCAGTCGCTTTAATCAGATAGCTGTGCAGAGAGACAGATTTCCAGATTCAGGCCATTAGCAGGTGGTCACTATGTACTAAGATCACTTAATTAGCCATAAACCATTGAGGCTGCAGTAAGATCAAAACTGTATCCACCGGGCCATATTTTATACCTCCCAGACCAGTTTTTTTATGAGTGGTGAAAGTGATGCAGGCTTTTATGCTGAGTTTCAGAGGGTGTTTTCAGTTGTTTTTTCCTATCACAGCAGAGTACAGGATGATCAAAAGCTGTCAGAAATTAGATGTTTCTAATGAGCTTGCTTCTTCTTGTTGTTTCTGTTTGTTTTGTTTGTAATTCGTAGGCATAAAACACAGAAGTACAGAACACAACTCCAGCCTGATGGTTTCTGAATCAGAGTTTGACAGTGATCAGGACACTATCTTCAGTCGAGAAAGGATTGAAAGAGAGAATCCTAAAACCCTTATGAACGGATCAATCAGAAATGGTGTTTCCTTCAACTACAGCTCCAAAGACAGATAACTGAATGAGGGTAAAAGCACAGAACACACTGGCCCAACGCATCTAAAACGTGTTGACTAGCCTCTGATTTTCTAAATCAAAAACTTCCTAAAGTGTCAACTAATTGCAGGTGAAAGGATAAATTTCTAGAAGAAAAACAGTGGGTAGAAAGGGAGAAGAAAATATGTAGTCAGCTAACTCCTATTGTTACTGCTAGAGAAACATGGAAAAGCACATAATATTTCCTGCATGTTCCATGCTGATGTTTATCTGAAATTCAGAAGGCCATTTTTCTTGTATTGTACTACAAAATTAGCCAGGGTCATTATGCTACTAACAATAGATGGTAATTGAGATACATATAAATTGATGTCCTGTACTCCTGTCTTTTTCTCAGAGGAGCCATGTGATTATGAAACTGACTTAAAACAGCAAGAACCAATATGCAGTATTTCCATTCCTGCTGTAGAGAGCAATATGTTACTGCAGGCTCCATTGTCAGGTTAGGTCAGGAACACAGAGAGGGAGCATTTGTAATGCACTGTGTTTTTCTGACTGTGCTTTGTGACTACCTTTTCTAGTGTAGTGATCATCAGCTGAAAATACCTTTGCTTTTAAAGGAAGTTTACAATTTTCTAGTTGCACTTAGCTGTAAAGTGATGTGATACATCTTTGTGTTGTAGGATGCAATGTTCTCTGTATTTACATGTGTATGGTGGCTCAGTGTGGTGTCTGCAGGGAAGTCCAACCTTAGGTTGCTTCTTTGTAAACCTTTACCTTTGTAAAGACAAAGGCACTTCTGCTTTTCCTTGGGTTTGCTAGGCTTTAAAGCCACGTCCCCAGTACTGTTCTTGAAATCACACATGGAAGGTCTGGCTTTTGTACAAAAGCCTCACTAGTGGGGGCATAGGAATCTGTGGCACTGGTCTGGCAATGATGCCAGCCTTTCCTATGGGTTCTTTGCTGACATGTTGGAAGCCTTAGGCTGAGCTAGTATGTTGTAATGCAGAAGAATTCCCCTTGGCAGCACTTTGGACAGGTTTTTTTGCTTGGTGTTTTTTTGTGTGTTGGTTGGTTGGTAGTTGGTTTTTCGGGGGTTGGACTCAATGATCTCTAAAGGTCTCTTTCAACCCCTACGATTCTGTGATTTACTGTAATCTGACGGTGGAAAATCCATTAATGGAGAGGGGTAGAACAGCATAGAGATCATGAGGGGCAGATCAGAAGGGGCACAGAGAGAACATACCTCACCCCTGTAACGAAGAATAGCGTGGTGGAGAATTTCTGGAGCTTTCTCCACTCCTTCATAGAATTCTGACACAAAAGATTGGTTGGGTTGAACGCTGGCTCCCATGATTGCATGGTCTCACACATTTGACTTGTTGTTTTAATAGCAGAAGTCTACGACGGTAGCAGTACCATGCTGAGGACCTGTGCCCATTCCTGCATTTCTGTGGAGACCTGAGTGTGGTCTCAGGTATCATAGAGGATAGGCAGAGATGGACTAAAAAGGGTTAATGCAAGTTTTTCTTTTCTGTGTTTTTCCCCTTTCCTCCAACAGATGGAAAATCAATTGTCTGATTTGCTTTCTTTAGAAGCCAAGTTTTAACTGTATATGGGTTTTAGGATATTTATTGAAATGAATCTGCTTTCTCGTCCTTCCCCTTTTGGACTGTATTTGTATATTTAATTAGTTACAGAATCATGCAATGGCTTGGGATGGTAGGAACCTTAAAAATGATATAGTTTCAACCCTCCCTACCATGTGCAAGCTTCAAACTCGCTAAACTAGGTCTTAGATGAGGCTGCCCGTGTCACCATTCAACACCATTCAACCTGGCCTTGAACACCTCCAGGGCTGGGGCATTCACTGCTTCTCTGAACAACTTGTTCCAATGCCTCATCATCCTCTGAGGGAAAATTTTCCATCTAGTATCTAACGTAAATCTCCTCTCTTTTAGTTTAAAATCATTCCATCTTGTCCTTCACTGTCAGACTGTGTGAAGTGTCTGTCTCCCTCCTGATCATAAACTCCTTTAAGTACTGGAAGACCACAACGAGGTCTCACAGTGGACTTGCTTGAACAGCTTTGTGTCTTTCTTGTGCTGGTGGCATCATACCTGGATCAGTACTCCAGATGAGACCTCACATGGGCAAAGTAAGGGGGAACAATCATGTCCTTTGCCCTGCTGGCTACCCCTCTTTTGGTGAAGATTACAGTTGGCCCTGCAGACTGCAGGCACGCGCTATCGGCTCAACACATTTTGTCCACTTTTTGTCCACCAGGACACTCACACCCTTCTCCACAGGGCTGCTCTCAGTGTGTTGTTCTCCCAGTGTGCACAGATCTGGGATTGCCCTGACACAGGTACAGTACTGTAGAGTTGCTTTGTTGAACTTCGTTAGGTCCATGTGGGCTTATATGGGCTTATGTGGGTTATATCCAGTTTGTCATTCACCAGCACCCCATCCTCTGCAAGGCTGTTCTCAAACAGTTCTTTGCCCAGTCTGTACTATACCAGGGAATGTCCTGAACCAGGTGCAGAGTCTTGCACCTGACCTTGTTCAACATTATGAGGTTCATATGGGCCCACTTTGCAAGTAGGCCACTGTCACCTTTACAGACTTGAATTGCCTGATGTGAACCTCATGGAGTTTTCTCTGCTTGGCATTCTTTGTATCAAATGCATAACTCAGCTTTATGTAATCCACAGAATGCTGAGGGTGCACTCAGTCCCATTGACAGTGATATTGAACAGCATTGTTTGAGGTATGGACCCTTGAGAGACGCTGCACATTTCAGTTTCCAGACATTGAGCTGTTGGTTGTACCTGTAGATGTGGTCATCCAGCCAGTTCCTAATCCATCTAATAGTTCGTCCATCAATTCCATATCTCTCCAGTTTAGAGGCAAGAACATTTTGAGATGCTGTTGTCAGTGGTGTTACAGAATTCTAGGTACATTACATCAATTGCTTTTCTGTTGTCTTCTGATATCTGCTCCATTGTAGGTCAGTGGATTAATCAAACACGTTTTGCCTTTGGTGTTGCCATACTGACTATCTCTGAACGCCTCCCTGTCTTCCATGTGCTTTCATGTAATTTCCAGGATAATTTATTCCATCTGATTTTATCAGGCAAGTAGAGTCAAGTAGGACATTGCTTTGCCTTTAGGCAGGACTGTCTCTTCTCCTGGTACACAATACCATGCATCAATCTCCAGCTCACATTCCCAAACACTGTGCCTGTTGAACTCCTCTGGTAGCGTAGCTACTTGTGTAGCTATGCTATCTACCCACTACTGCTTCATGTACTGCAGCAACTCCCGTATAGCAGGGCTCCATGCATCATAAGGTCTGGACAGGTATTTTAGTCCCTGGGAGATCTGTTTGGATGGAGATGGAAGCACTACAGTCTACCTGTGCTGATATTTGTGTTTCAGCTACAGCCTTACTGTGCTTTTTTTTCTTTCAGTGGGTCACAGTCTCCCGTACAAGTTCAAACTTTTGATGAAACAGTTTCTTCCATTTTCTTTAGTAACATTTTCATAAGCTGAAGGCCATCAATTTCATCCGTTCCAACATCCTTCTTTGTGTTTCTTCTGTAGGAACTGGGAAGCTGAATATTTGGCTGCAGTAGATTTGATCTCCCTGTCAGATGCTGAGGTCCAGGGCTTGATACTACATGCAGGCCTCTCACATACCGCAGGAATGCATTCTTCTTACAGTAAGAAGACTCAACAGGACAAACTTCAGCCAATCCTTAGCGTTGTGCTGTGTATTGTCTGCTCTCCAGCTTTTTCTTCCACAGCATCTTTCCATTACTGCTTGTGCTAAGTCTCTGCAGCCTGCCTTTATCAGTGAACTTACTGTTTAGCACATGTCACTGCAGTCAGCACCCTTCAGTTTTTGTCAAGTCTGTCACGTGGGTGTTTGGGGGTTTATTTTACATTTTTCAAGCCTGGTGCTGCAGGGTAGCAGATGGTTCTTTCAAGTACTCTAGTAAAACAGCAAATCAGAAACCTGTTCTTACCAATGCTACAGAATTCCCTGGGCTGTTTCTCCCACACACACACACTTGCTGTGGGTGCTGACCTTGAGATCAGTGGCAAGCCTTTGCACCGTGAGATCATCTGCATGATTTGGCTGAAAATTTCTCCCTGTAACAAGTGAGAAACTGGTCTAATGCTTCTTATTGCCCAAAGCCTTCCCAAATGGAAGATGCTTACAGAATGCTGTCCCCTAGGTAACACTTTGACATCTTCATTGTATTTTATTTGCATTTTGAAAGCTGTTTTTTGAAGAGGCCTCTAATTCTAATGGTGTAACTGTTCCATGTCCTCGGAAGAAGAAGTAATTCTTCGTTCATAGTACGAGGCTTGCTATTAACACAAACCTGCACCAAGATTTTAAATTAATATTTCTGGCTCTGTGAATTTGAGGTATGACATGTATCATTTGCTCAAGCACAGTTTTGTCAGGAAATAAGAAGTGAGCGTAGCAAGGCTTTTATTTCAGTTCAGTCACATTTTTGTTTCTAGAAAAACTGCTTTACTGGTGCATGTTGAGGTGGAATGAAAGAGAAGAATAGCCAACTGTTAAGGTATAAACACAATGGCTGAATTTAGGACTGCTGATAGCTTTCTGATTTGGATTATCAATTACATTTGGGTTTGAAGCAAGTACACAGTCCTCACATTTACTTCCACACAGCTTTCCTCTGTACACAGAAAGCATATGGCAGCTTCCTTGTGAAATAGGGATGGAGGTTTTCCCACCAGTCTTCTCTGCTCTTCTAAGGTACAGCTTTGCCATGTACAGCTCTAAGTCCATTGGAAAGAAATGCACAGCTTGGCACTGGTAAGATGCTCTGTTGGAACACAAGCAGCGTGCCAACACTTGGAGTTCATCATAGCTTTGGTGTAAGTTCTGGATTCTCACTTTCATCTTGGTTTTACATTTATAGATGCTGGCTGATACATGCACAAGTAGAGGTTATCTAGCTGTGTAAAAGGGCTGCCTCTGCTGCCTTTTAAGTAGGGAATATATTTAGAATAACTTCCTTGCCATTACTGCCTGATGCAGTAAAGAGATTCAAGTATTCAACGTTGTCATACTGCAAATAATGTTCTGTGTTTATAATAAATCACTGCTGCAGTACAAACTGAAATTTACCTGGGCGAGTCTGCTGTGATAGACATCTAATGCATCTGTTGTCCCGTGGTTCAGCCTTTCATTCAAAAAAAAAAGTGAACAGTCTAATCATAGAGGAGTTTATTTGCAGGGGGAAAATAGGATATTGTTGTTTCATTTGTAAGAATTCACTTACAGCTGCATCCTTCTGGGTAAACAGAAGATGAGCAGTCTTCTCTGCCAGACCTATCACATCCAGGTTTGTGATAGGTCTAAGCACATACAGCTCCTTTTCAAGCACCTGTTTCTTTCACTGTCAGATGTGGTTGCTTATATAATGTGGGTTTTTTTCTTAGTTAATTGTGGCAAACAAAATTAAGTGCAAACATGTAAGGAAGTTCGCTGTGTCAAAAACAGAGAAATTCTCAATGCTGAGTTTGAACTTTCCTTCGACAGTTCTAATATTCTTGAAATAATTTTCTTAGGCAAATTTCCTATCCTTCTTTTAGATTACATGAAACTAGTTTTGTACCTCAGTATACTGGTAGTGGGCTCTTGTCAGCTGGAGTTTTGGGATGGCAGTAATGAAACGACAAATATTGGTCTTCTGAGCCATTTTTATAACCATTGAGAAAGGAAACCATTTCTCTAGAAGGAAGATAAGCTAGAAGTGAATTAGTTACCTGACTAGAATATTGAGCTCATACCTCTGCAGCAAAGGAAAACCTACACCATCATACACCTTTTAGGTCTAGAACTCCCCATGACAAGGGAGCCTTAAAGCTTAGAAATAAAATACTAAGAAACAAAAACACAAAAAAAACACCTTTCTTTTGCTTAGGGTATGAACCAGGTGCGGATGAGCCACACAGCATGTAGCTGGTCTGTGTATAGAAAAACTTCTCCCTGTGGGTGGATGGGTGAGCTATTGATACAATTAATCCAATTCTAACAAATGTTACTTACTGAAAATGACAGTGTATTGTGACTGGAACCATTTCTGAGCTGAAACTATGATATTTATGTAACTACTAATAAAATTTTGTCTTTTCTTCTAGGACCTTGGTGGGGTACTTTCTGTACTTTGGACTTGATACTCAAGTTGGGCTAAGAGAGACATTGTGTATAGCATAGCTGAAGTCTACTCAAGAAAGCAGCACAATATCTGATCCCTTGGCTTGTTATTGACAAAAGCAGAAAGGTATCTTACGCAGGGAGGGAGCATAATTCAGTATATTAGGGAGCAGGAAAAGCTGTTTTACTTCGACTTACAGAATTTCCTGCTTTTCCTTGGGTTAATTGCCTGTGCAACCTTCTCAGTATCATTTTTAAACCTTTTGCTTTAAGATAGAGCCTCGTATAAGCAGCAGGGCTGACAAAGGACAAAAAGTTATCCTTAAGTCTGCACCAGCTGCAGAGATCCAGCTACTTCAATGCCAAGTCACGAGGAGATGCTTTTTAATTGCAGGATTGCCCAACTCCCAGTAACACCTGAATGAACAATGAGCTGATAACAATAAAAGCTGTTTTACTACATGCCAATTTACATTCTGCAAAGCTTATGAAAACATAAAATCAATCGTAGATGTCTTCAAAAAAAGTCTGCCAAGTAAATGGACAGGCCACAGAACTCTAGCTAACTTATGCACTTCATTAAATCCAAAGGTCATGGTGACAAGGAATGAAGGAGAACCAGCTATTCTAAACAAAATTAAATGCTAGATATTGGTCAAACGTGAAATAAATCTTAGTAGCACTAATTGTCTTTCTTCACTGCTACTAATTGCTGTTACCAGGACCTGGAGCCACCTCACTTGCTGTGTTTTCCAGCACTGCCTGGAGCTTGGACCCAGAAACTGAAAATTTGAAATCATTTGCTGAAACAGATGAGAATAAGGTTTTTAAAAACCTATTTAAAATAATCTGAGAATCATGCAGGTGATAACATCCCGAAAGCAGGGAAACGCATTCCGATCCACAAAGCCCATCTCTTGTGGTAAAATGCTTGATTCAGCACAGGAGATTTGCACATGGAATAACTCATGGCATACAGATATGTCAAAGTAATTTCACCTGCTTGATTTAGAATGAAGGCATTGTAATTTGGGACAGCTAATGTTGCTGCTACAACACCTGCATGTGGAGGAATGTCTTTCTTTCCAGTGCTAAGCTTGGCACAACAAAATATCTGTGGAAATCTGAGGGGCAGAACTTGCTGCTGTCAGCTCATGAGTTCAACAGTGAATATTGCAATAAAGCACAAAATCCAATGCTTTCATATAAGTTATTTATTAATTGAAAATGTCTTTTCATCACAGTTTTAAATCCAGAAATTTCTGAACATCACCAACATTATTAACATAACTCAAATGTGAGGATTCAAGTATCAAGAATCACAGCTTTTGCTATGAAAACAACTTTAAGATTATTCTGTGCTTACCTTAATGACACAAACATACTGTGCTGGAATCCAACCACAATCCAATCTAGACAAAGGTATTTTTCAACTTCATTATACAACCTAATCATGGTTTGTGCTTGTTATCAGGCAAAGTTAAAAAAGAAAAAAATACAAAAAAAGTAAACATTGACTCATTAATTGTAACAGTGCTATTCTGAGAAATTACATCCAGGTTTTAAATTCACCAAGGCATCAGATCACTAATTTTGCAATGAAGAGAGCAGCAGACTAAAAAATTAATCCTCCAATTGCGGTGTCCCAAGAAGTACATCTACATTCAAGATTGCACTGTCACACAGCAGTAAAGAAGTTTAACCTTGATCTGATAGTGCAAGCATGTTTTAAGTCTGTGCAATTGAAGTGGCAGATATTCCAACCTGTGTATAGTATCTGTAAGTGTGCCTTCATCACTGTACTACTGGTAACCAGGCACCAAGTTACTGCTTTTTTCTGCTGAGCTGCATTTTGCAAGGAGTAAAAATGTATCAGCAGCCAGAGCTGGCAAAAGACTCCCTGTTCCACGACATCATGCTCCCAGATTCAGGCAGCCTGTGCACTCAGCAGTGCAAGCTCAGAACCTGTCTAGAAAGAATTGTCTTGCAATTTATGTGGGTAGAATTAAGCTGTCCCTTTTGTTCTTCAGAGAAAACAAATGTGCTACAATTGATAACAGTATCCAATCCTTACCCTTGTAAATGTGCATTCTTGTTGCATTGGAAGTTTTTGATGTGCAGTCAAGTGTCCTTTACTTGTCCTTCAGCTGGCAGGACACACACACACACACACATACCATTGAAATGATGTTTTGTTTTTCTTTCTTACTGAGGAATCTCACATCTTTTAAAGATGTCAGTTAAAATAGTGGAATAATGGGTAAAAGTCTCGCCTACAATTACTTTTGTTTAAATCCTTATTAGATTGCAAGTTCCCCAAGTTAAAAAAAAATGAATATACCTTTCTCAATAAGGGGTATTTGCTTGTGTGACCATAAATACAAGGCGTGAAGCCCATCTGCTCCTGTTCTTTGGAGTTGCTGAGGAACATTGACATCAGTGACTTTCCTTCTACAAAGGACAGTTACATTCTTTTCACAGAAGAGAGTTTACATACGTTCTTACGTCAGCATTTGGGATTCATTCCTATAGGCCCTTCAGTGTCCCCTTAACATTCTGTAAATTATTCCTGCAGTTTTGCATCCCATCTTCCTCCTCCTTCTCCTCGCTGAGCCGGCAGCTCATTGTCCTGCACTGCCATCCTCTCTGAGCAACTGAGACTCACATACATACCAAACAAGGGCTGTACCTGATCCCAAACTTGCCAGCTGTTAGGCACAAATTACAGCTCTTTGCTCAGAAGCCCAGAGGCTGAACAGCTGACAGCTCTGCAGCCAGTATTAAGATGCACTTAAAAGCTGCTCATTCACCTGCATAGATTCCTAGTTGTAGCCAAGCACTTCCTCATCTTTCATAAGCATCAGATTATCCCACAGTTTAAAAAAAAAAAAAAAGACATGCCTGCTTCTAAAAGAAAGTTACATCACCACATTAGAAAATGGTGCTTGCACAGACGTTTAAAGGCAGTTTGCTTCCCCCATCCTACACAAACAGAGGCAGTAGAAAAAGGTGGTCTGTTTTCCCCTTGACACAGATGGTGATCTATTTCCATAATGCAGCAATCTCCAGGTTCTCCCCACTAACGAGGGTGATCTAAGAATAATAAACGTGCTTTTCTTCCCTACTCCCTTTCAGAGGTAATGGGCACTGTGATCACACTGCTGAAGAACAACGTACTCATGTAGTACACTGAACATGTAAAAACATGTGGCACATCATGTTGTCAATACGTCTCAGTACAGGACAGGGTTGCTTATTTTTAAAGAAGGTAAAAGTTGCATTCATGACATTTTTCTGGTTCAGAAAGCTTTCAAAACTACAGCAGTCTTTTGCAAGATGTTGGGGTTGTGCTTTCTGAAGATTGCTACAAGCCTCCAAAACAGACGTACTTTATTTCTAAGTATTCATCAATGCCATACTTGGAACCTTCTCTCCCTATGCCAGACTGCTTTACCCCACCAAAAGGACTCTCAACCGAGGAGACTATGCCTTCATTCACACCAACCATTCCAACTTCCAGCTGCTCTGCAACTCTCCAGATCTGTGCTGGATCTCGGGAATAGAAATATCCTGCCATGCAGACACAGAATAATGCCAAATGAAAATAAAGTCAGGAGGAACAACAGCAGATTGATACTTAATGATGTGATGCTTACTACTTTGTTAAATATTCCCTCAGCACTGAAGCTTACAAGAGATATGAAAAGAGAAGCATACCTGCTAAACCCACATCAGCTGCATTCGCTATAGCAATGGCTTCTGCTTCAGTGTCAAATCTGTCAACATAAAGAAAAAAGAAATACAAATGAAGCCTGTCCTTGACACAGCATTTTGCTATGCTTTAACAGGAATAAGTCAGTATGCAGGTTTGTTTGTTGGTGGGTTTTTTTTTTTTTTAAATATATTTTCAAAACTAATTTAAATTCAAAGTAATGGAGAAGTTTCTACCACTTACTTCAATTTGAACTACAATTAAGTAGGTTTATCCTCCCTAGATGCTGGTAGTTGAACATTTACTTTCACATGAGTTAGCTCACTAATCTCCCCAGCCATGCAGGCACTCAGCTATGAGATTACTGTGCATTCTTCTGTCCAATCACTGTGGACAGAGGCAGAGAAGATTTTAAGGAGAAAACAGAACCAAGTCATCCTCAAACAGAAAAACTCAGGGCTAGCAAATCACATAACAAATTGCAAACTCCTGCCTCCCACTTCATGCTGCAAAACATGAAATTTGAGTGTTTTGCTGTTATCATCCTCGCTTAACTGCTGATGCAATTTAAAAGAAAACCATTTTCAAGAACGTGCAGCAATGCTTAGATCAGGTCAAGAGAGAAACAAGCAAACTGGATACACGTAGTACATTTCCACAGATGAACTTGAGCCTTATAACAAGACCTATGTGGCCTTCCAAAAGCTTCTGGCAGTCAGTCAGTCAAATCTTATTGCTCAAAACAATACCTCATCATTTTATATCGCTGCGTTTTACCAAGAATCTTACTTGATAACTGGTGCTAAAGGGCCAAATGTCTCCTCTTGTGTGCAAAGCATTTTTGTCGTAACGTTACTCAGCAAGGTTGGCTCAAAGAAATTCTTCCCCAAGCTGTGTCGTTTCCCTCCAGTCACAACAGATGCTCCTTGTGAAACTGCATCGTTAATGTGTCTCTCTACCTAAGGTGTGCAAAACAAAAATCTCAAAGCTAGCATTTAAAAAATGATCATCACTGCATTTTTCACTGAAAAAATAATAGTATTAAAGAGACTCTGAAGAGAGGTTCATCCTTCACCAACTATTTGCAGAGTTATTCAAAATTTCTCTTGAATTAAATTATGAGTATGGCCCCCATCTAGCAGACATCCAACCTATTGAAATGAACATCTAATGTGAGGAAAGGACTGAGTAGCACACCTGACATTCATCATCAGGCACTGTGCAAACACAAGCACATAAAGAGAACACAGGTAACAGAAGGAAGTTTTCAAGACAGGGCTGACAAAGACATTTTCTTCCCCTGTGTAACAATTTATCCAAAGACAAGAAAGTACTGAGAAAACCAAATCTCAGTCTAGAATAACTCCCTTGAAATAATAGAAAGGCAGTTATGTGACTATGCAGTGCTTGCAGACTTGTGTGTACGGCCCTATGCTATACACAATACTTTTGTGGTACAAAGGGAAAGAATTCAGTCACATCTATGTACTTGAAGGCAGGCCAAGTATTAAATCCTTCGTCTCCCAGCTAATTCTGAGTATTATCAGAATTTCTAATTGCTTTAACTTTAGAAAGGGTGAAACGTTAAGAGTGTGACTTTTACTACTGCAATACTTACTACTGCAATATAAAAATAAAATTCCTGGGGTCACAAGTAATTCAAAATAGAAGATGTGAACTATGCATATAGGATTTCAAATGATTCCAGCGTCCAGAGCCCTGGTGCTTTTAGCCTCAGTGTGTTATTTTGCTTAGTTTCTGCCAAACAGAGGCAAAGTAATGTCTTCAAAGTAAGTTTTCAATCACAGTGCCTCAGAATTGTGGGCTCACCTCATCACTCTCACAGCATATCCAATCTCAGCAAATGTTCTTCTTGAGAACAGCTGAGAAATAATTAGGAAGATTTATTTTCTCATGAAGGAGGAATCCCTTTTCTCTTTAATGGAAATAAGAGAATGACACATTAACTGGCCATGTCTCTTTCCCTAAGCTTGGAGGAGATAGCAAACTTCCAGCCACACCGTTAATACCTTCTAACAACCATAAAGAAGTTAAATAGAATTCTGTGTTACTTTATGGATCATAAAAAAAGGAATTTATGTCCAAAAAAAAAAATCTTTAGTTATTTATTTTTACCTTCTCTACTGCTTTTTCATTAATTAATGGCCCTTGGGTAGTTTTTGCATCAAATCCACTTCCGACACGCAGCTCGCTCTCTATGGCTTTAGCAAACTTCTCTACAAATTTGTCATGGATCCCCCTTTGCACCAGGAAACGGTTTGCACAAACACATGTCTGAAAACAAGCATGAAAAGGAAAAGCAAACAGTGGTTTATATTGTATCTCATTACCAATTCCTTCTGCCCACCATGCCACAATGACAGGACACTACAGCGCTTTGTGCTCTGCCTATTCTCCAACATCCTAAGCTGTTCCCAATTTCTTCTGCCATCCTGTTCTCTTAAGAGATACAATTCCAACCAGCTGTAAACATTTGCATAAAATACACCATGCTGTTAGATTTAAGTGGCTTGTGCTGGGAAAAGGCTTTGTGATTTCTGTGGATACCGGTATACGGATGGAGCAGGGTTCAGAAGCTTCAAGAAATATTACATTCTAATTACACACACCAGAGAATGCTGAATTGAGCAAAAGAATTTCAATTCACACATGGTGGTGTGGGATCTTTTTTTTTTCACTCCTAACTTCTTCATTAACTGAACTTGAGTTTTCTTTCCTCCTGGAGTTTGTTTGCAAGTGCTTTCAACTGCCTGCTGTTATACTCATTTATGCCATCCCCTATGCTCTGACTGAATCCTTCTTTGATTACTACAGCCCTTCAAAAGTAACAGCTATCTTCTATATATACCAAACTATGTCGATGTAATTTTTTTGTGTTATTCAGACTTGCTGCATGATAGCTGGTTTAAGCACCCACAGCCATGTGTGGCCCCAGCATCTTTCTCTGAACAACAAAATATTTTATGTTCACAGCCCTTCTATTCCCAGAAACAAGGACTCTTACCTGCCCTGAGTTTCTGTACTTAGAAGCAAGGGCTCCTGCAACAGCACGGTCCACATCAGCACTGTCAAACACTATAAAAGGAGCATGCCCTCCAAGCTCCATGGAAACTCTCTTCACAGTGCCAGCTGCATGTTTCAGCAGTATCTGAGGAAACATAGAAATTTCTAATTCTACTAGGTGCAAACTAAGGGAACCACAGAGCTTACGGATGGAAGGCACTGAGAAACTAACTCCAGCAGGGAGTAAATCTGCATCTTCTGCATTATGCTACACCATCTGTTTTCTCCCATCACAAATACAAGGATGAATTTCCTTCATTAAAGTCTTTAGACATTACACTCTGCTGAGAAAATAACGAAGGAAAGGATTTGCATCACACTCAGGTCAGGCTGACACTATATGCTGACACTGTCACTTGTTTGCTTGTTCATTTCTTGTTTTTTGTAACAAAAAATCTTGACAACTCACAGCAGTTCTCTAATATGTGCCAGTATTTGGTATTAAGACTTGCTTTAGGTATCAGGCCTTCTCTTCATTCCACAGACAGCCATTGCATAGAATTCTTCTATCTTTAGCCATATCTACAGTTTTACTGATCTCATTGGGGACTGATTAGTAAGTCTGTTCATGCAGTAAAGCTGACAGGAGGCTGAAGTTGAAACAAATGCTTTCTTTCAACTACAGAAGCCGTTTCCAAGCAGCACCTTTGAAATTCTATTTCAGTGTTCATATTAGTGTGCTGTCACAGTATATGAAACACAACCATTTTATACAGAACTGCTCAGGTTCTAATTCAGTAAGGAGCAATTATGCAGAAGCTGCACACAAGCATCTTTTTGTGAAGTACTGACACAGAAGTAAATAGGCAGTACCTCAACAGGTACACACTGATGTGTACAATCTCTGCACAGCAGCCAGAAAAGAAAGCTCTATATGAAAGCACACATTTCCCCCTACCTTTCTGGTGTAAGCACAGTATTAATCTTCAAGGATATTCTGCCCACTTATGTACCTTTCCTGTTGCAGTGGAGCCCGTAAAAGATATTTTGGCTACCAATGGATCAGTGCACAGAACTTCCCCTACAGCTGGTGCCTGCTGTCTTGAACAAGGAACAACATTATACACTCCTGCTGGAATTCCAGCCTGGTTTGCAAGCTGCAACAAAGGAAAGAGAAATTGCAATATCAGAGAAGTTTGTATGAGGAATATGTAATTTAATGTTTACTGTTTAAAAGAAATTGGTTTCCAGTCAAAAGAAGCACAAGGTGCACACCACAACTCTCAGATGCCATAGTGTCTTGAGTGCAGCTTCACACCTGATTAAGCAGGCTGTCATTCAAAGTAACCAAAGAAAAGATACAAAAACCTTTCCCATGCTTGAGTGGCCAGATCCACTTTGAGGGTCTAGACTGTACTAGAGACAACTTCCAAAGACATCTAATGAAATAAAACTTCTGTATCAGTTCAGCCAACTTGTCTTCACGTATGAAATTGGCTCGAGTTATCCACAAATCATATTTCTAAGTTCTGTCGTGTAGCTTCAGTCCATCATTAACCTACAGCTTAGCATAAAAGCTCACCTCTCCAAGAGCTAATGCTGATAAAGGTGTGTCCTCTGCAGGTTTCACTACCACTGTACAGCCAGCTGCCAAAGCTGCACCAACCTTCCGGGTAATCATAGCACTGGGGAAATTCCACTAGGATGAGAGAAAAGAACAATCAAACTTAGGAAAATATTGCTCCAGTTGTTGCAGCAATAGTAGTAGTTGTTTTCTGTGCTTACATGGCAGCCTAAACAGACCTGCATGATGTGCTTTGGCCCAGGCAAACATTACAAAGAAGCACTACTGGCCAATGAAGATGTAGGACAAGGGGAAATGGTTTTAAGTTGAAGGAGGGAAGATTTAGGTTGGATGTCAGGGGGAAGTTCTTCACAGAGAGAGTGGTGAGCTGCTGGAACAGCTGCCCAGAGAGGCTGTGGATGCCACATCCCTAGAGGTGTTCAAGGCCAGGTTGGATGGGACTCTGGACAGCCTGGTCTCATTATTAAATGGGGAGGTTGGTGGCCCTGCATGTGGCGGGGGGTTGGAGATTCATGATCTTTGGGGTCCCTTCCAACCCTGGCCATTCTGTGATTCTGTGGTAGAAATGAAATTTTACAGGGGTGTTTCCTGAGGCAAGAGAAGCCATAAGGCCCCATGCTGTAAGCTAAGCTGAAAATTTTCATATGATTGGAAACATTCAGCTGCACTTACTGGGGTTATAATTGCTGCCACTCCTACTGGCTGTTTTAGAACCAGGATTCTTCTGTCTTTTGCAGATGCTGGAATGACATCACCATAAACTCGGCGAGCTTCTTCTGCAAACCACTCCAGAAATGAGGCAGCATATAGGACTTCCCCTTCTGCTTCTTTCAGAGGTTTTCCCTTTGATTACATCAAATTGAAAATACACTATAAATGGCAGACCGAAGCAATACAAATAAACTGACATAATTTCAGAATTCTTTTCAAAATGCTTTATAATCCTGTATTACATACCTCACAGTCTCCAGAAAGGACTTGGTATTATTCCACCAGCAATCACTATGCAGTTTCAACATACATACAGTCATCACACACTCACATTTTGACAGCTGTGCCTAGCTTCTACCTGCACTCCACAAGGGAGATGGAATAGCAGACTGTGTTTATTTACAAACTCTGCAGTTAGCTACTACCATTCTGAAGCAGATACAAATGGAGGCAAAACATGTACAGGTTTCTGTCAGGGACCACCGTGTTTGGGTGTATTACTCTGCAGACCTTCAGGTGTGGTCTTGTGGTCTGATGGCCACTACCTGTTGAAGAAGGTCCAGAGGAGAGCCACAGAGATGATCAGGAGGCTGGAGCACCTCCCTACGAAGACAGGCTGAGGGAGCTGGGCTTGTTCAGCCTGGAGAAAAGAAGGCTGCGGGGTGACCTCATTGCAGCCCTTCAGTACCTGAAGGGAACCTACAAACAGGAGGGGAGTCAACTCTTTGAAAGGGTACTGCAGGACAAGGGGAAATGGTTTCAAGTTCAGGGAGGGAGGATTTAGGTGGATGTCAGCTGGAAGTTCTTTACAGAGACAATGGTGAGGTGCTGGAACAGCTGCCCAGAGAGGCTGTGGATGCCCCATCCCTGGAGGTGTTCAAGGCCAGGTTGGATGGGGCCCTGAGCAGCCTGGGCTGGTATGAAATGAGGAGGTTGATGGCCCGGCATGTGACAGGGGGGTTGGAGATTCATGATCCTTGAGGTCCCTTCCAACCCTGTGAACACAGCAGAGGAGCTGCTGTGGCATCTTCCAGAATGCCTTTATTCAAAAGAACACCACCAATCTGCATTTCCAGACCGGTCTGCAATGCAAACTCAAACACGTTAAGTGAGCACCACTGGGAGACTGGCTTAGTGGTACATCCAAAACCAGGCACTAATGCAGACATAACACATCACTCCTACTTACAAGTTGCACTAAAATCAGTTTGACTCGAAAAGGCTGCGTGTCAGTTTAACAAACATCATTACCGCAGTCATTAATTGTCAGATGGCTTCCCTGCCATCTGAAGAGGCTGCAGTAAAAAGAAGCCTCCACAAAACACTAGGATCTTCAGCAAAGCTTGTTCTTGTTACTGTATATCTGCACACATCCTTTGAATCTAGTTAGTAACTTTGTTTTCCTACGATTAGGCATAAGCTACAGAATCTAACTGGTAATTTCAAGCAATACCAGTCCAAAAATAAGAAAAAAATAGTTAAACTAGTTTTTATCTTGCCTACTAGGGGACAAAGGCATTATTAACATAATTTTTCCCTTCTGAACACATGAAACCGATACAACACAATACCTTTCTGCCCTTACAACTGCAGTTTACATGCATTTACATGTTGCCACTGTACCACATGAAGCACAGTGCAGGTGTACCTCCAGCCAGGTACTGCTGGAAAAAGCACTTCTTTGTTTATTTTTTCCCCTCTAAAAAAGATAAACGCTTCCACAGCGAGCTCTTAGGTGGATGTCAGGGGGAAGTTCTTTACAGAGAAAGTGGTGAGGTGCTGGAACAGCTGCCCAGAGAGGCTGTGGATGCCCCGTCCCTGGAGGTGTTCAAGGCCAGGAACACACGCGAGCTCAGAGATGCGTGCTCCAACCCGCGGCTCTGCCCGCCTTCCTTTCACCTGCCTCCATACTCACGTTTTCCGCCGTTATGATCGTCGCCAGATCTGTTTTCCTTTCAATCATCAGCTCGTACCATCTGCGGATAAGGGCGCTCCTCTCCTGCAAGGACAGAAGCCTGCCGTCGTCCCCGCACACAGGACGGTCCCCACGCACAGGACGGTCCCCCCCACCCCCGCTCACCGCCCCGCCGGCGCCATCTTCCCCCGCCGCTCACCTTAGCGGGAAGGCGGCCCCAAGCGCCGCCGGCTTCGTGCGCGACCCGCACGGCAGCCCTCGCCTCGGCTTCGCCGCAGTCGGCCACCCGGCCCAGCTCGTCGCCGCTGGCCGGGTCCCGCACGGGGAATGCGGCGGGCGTCTCTAGCCAGCGGCCGCCCACCAACGCGCCGCGGCGAAGCAGGGCGGCGGGCAGAGCCCAGCTGCTGCGCCGCGCTGGCGGCGGGAAGAAGGCGAGGCGGCGGGCGGCAGCGACACGCCGCCTCAGGAGGCTCGCCATGGCCGAGCGCCGGCTGTGGGGCCCGGGCAGCGCCACACGCGCCGCCCCGGAGGAGGAACTGCGGAGGGCCGGGCCTAAAGCCGCATCACGTGCCCTTCACATCCCTGCGTCAACAGATCCTTGTCCTCTGTGCGGCTCTGTGCCGAGGGTGTAAGAAGGAATGGAGTTGTAACTAATGCTCAGGACGCAGCGCTTGATCTCGTTAAAGCTCGTACCGTTGGCCTCCGCCCGTTGATCCAGCCTGTCCCGATCGCTCTCCCATTCCTCAGACAGAACCACGCTTAATGCCAACTTGCTGTCATCTGCAAACTTATTAGGGTGCGCTCAGTCGCCTTGTCCGGATCACCAGTCAAGGCACTGAACAGTTCAGACCACAATACCAACCCCCTGGGGCACTGCTAGTGACCGGGCACCAGCACGATTTAACTCCATGCACTGCCACTCTCAGATTTTTACCCAATGAAGAGTATATCAGTCCAAGCTATGGGCAACTAGTTGCTTCTCCAGGAGAATACAGTGGGAGACATCGCCAAAGGCTTTACGAAAGTCTAGGCAGATTGCTTGAGGTCAGTCACTTCATTTCAGACATCCTTTTCCTTCTTTCACGTGCCTTGGTGGCCACAGCTGGTGTCTGGCACAAAGATCACATAGAGCACTTGCCCACCTTGCCTATAGATTGAGCTGCAGCCTGTGATAGCCAGGCCATAACCTTCCCCAGTCAGGTTTGCACAGAAGATGGTGGAGAGCTGCAGCATGCCTAGCATCTTCTTTGGACAGAAGCTCGCAGCAGTATGAATGACAAGAGTACTTGTGATTACCTGCTCCATAGGTAGGGTTAAACTGGGTTATCAGTCTGGATTACAAGACCTAGATGCACGTGTGTAATGAGTGGAAAGCTTTAAACTTCTTGCCTACCAAAGCTCATGTATTTCTTCAGTGAAAAAGCTCCCCCTTGGGAATCCAAGACCCTGAAGGTTAGTGAGAGAGTCTGGGGAATGGAAGACCTCCCTTCAGTCAGGGAAGAGGTGGTCTGAGAGCGCCTAGGCAACACCAATGTTCACAAATCCATGGGACCCGATGGGATGCATCCACGGGAGCTGAGGGAGCTGGCAGAGGTGATTGCTGAACTGCTTTCGGTCATCTTTGAGATGTCTTGGAGGATGGGGGAGGTGCCTGAAGACTGGAGGATAGCCAATGTCACTCTGGTCTTCAAAGAGGGCAAGAAGGAAGACCCAGGCAATTATAGGCCAGTCAGCCTCTGCTCTGTCCCTGGAAAGGTGATGGAACAGCTGTGTTGGATGTCATCTCCAGACAACTGGAAGAAAAGGAGGTTATCAGGAGTAGTCAGCACAGGTTCACCAGGGGGAGGTCGTGCTCGACCAACCTGGTAGCCTTCTATGATGTTGTCTCTGGCTGGGTGGATGGGGGGAGAGCAGTGGATGTAGTCTACCTTGGTTTCTGCAAGGCATTTGATACTGTCCCCCACGACATCCTTATAACAAAGCTGAGGAAGTGTGGGATAGATGAGCGGACAGTAAGGTGGGCTGAGAACTGGCTGACTGGCAGAGCACAGAGGGTCGTCGTTGGCAGTGCAGAGTCTGGTTGTAGGCCTGTAACCAGTGGTGTTCAGTGCTGGGTCCGGTCTTGTTCAACATCTTCATCAGTGACCTTGATGAGGGGACAGTGGCCACCCTCAGCAAGTTTGCTGATGATACGAAGTTGGGAGGATTGGCTGACAGCCTGAAGGCTGTGCTGCCATTCAGTGAGACCTGGATAGGCTGGAGAGCTGGGCAGCAAGAAACCAGATGAGGTTTAACAAAAGCAAGTGTAGTGTCTTGCATCTGGGGAGGAATAATTGCATGCACCAGTACAGGTTGGGGGATGAGCTGCTGGAGGGGAGCTCTGTGGAGAGGGACCTGGGTGTCCTGGTGGATGACAGGTTGGCCATGAGCCAGCAGTGTGCCCTTGTGGCCAAGAGGGCCAATGGCATCCTAGGGTGCATTAAAAAGAGCGTGTCCAGCAGGTCGAGGGAGGTGATCCTCTCCCTCTACTCTGCCCTGGTAAGGCCTCATCTGGAGCACTGCGTCCAGTTCTGGGCTCCCCAGTACAAAATAGACAGGGATCTCTTGGAAAGAGTCCAGCGGAGGGCCACAAAGATGGTGAAGGGCCTGGAGCATCTCTGCTATGAGGAAAGGCTGAGTGAGCTGGGTCTGTTCAGCCTTGAGAAAAGAAGACTGAGCGGGGACCTGATCCAGGTCTATAAATATCTGAGGTGTGAGGGGCAGAATGGCGAGGCTGAACTCTTTTCAGTGGTGAGTGGAGACAGGGCAAGGGGAAACGGCCGGAAACTGCAGCACAGGAAGTTCTGCACCAATGTGCACAAGAACTTCTTTATGGTGAGGTGACGGAGCACTGGAACAGGCTGCCCAGGGAGGTGGGGGAGTCTCCTGCTCTGGAGATGTTCAAGACCTGCCTGGATGCCGACCTGTGCGACCTGCTGTAGGGAACCTGCTTTGGCAGGGGTTTGGACTTGATGATCTCTGGAGGTCCCTTCCAACCCCTACAACTCTGTGATTCTGTGATTCTGTTACCTTCAGTTCTGGAACTAGTGTGTTCCTATTGATACTGCTTTGGCAACTGGCTTCCATTTATTTTTGGGGGGGAAAATCTTGTAGAGTTGTAAGTCAAATGTGCAGTGAGGCAGACATCCTCTGGGAGGCTGCCCTTCTCCTTTGTGCTGTGGGTTAAAATAAATCTCTCTGCTCTTGTGCAGTGATGGCAATTACACTGCCAAAATCCCAGAGAGAGAAAGAACACCTATAAATTACTTATTTAAAAAAAAAAACTATTTTATTTGAGGTAAAGGTATAAAACGGTGCTACCAATACCACAATAGCTTGCTTGCTGTGTCAGCAACAGGTCTGAAAGACAAAATGTGTGCCGTAACCCACATTTCAAAGGTCACTGCTACTGCTGCAGGCTTCTAAACACACAGCTTGAGCAAGCGTCACAGCATCATGGCTGGTCTGAAGAGCTGGTCTGTTTTAATGATTATACTGTACAATTTCTGCCACAAATGTATTCCAAGTGGAATTTCAACGCATGTTGAAATAGGTAAGGCATATTCAGAATGAATTTTCCTGTGTTTTGAATTGCTTGGGAAGAAAAGTAAATTCAGATGGCTGAAAAGCAGAGGGAGGGAATAAGGTGAAAGTAATGAGCATTCCACGTTGTTTACTTTAAATAATAGTAATTAATAATAGAAGTAATATTACGTGGATTGAATGAGTTCTTCATCTTGTATCATTTGAACCTTAACTGTGATGTTTTTATAACCATACTGCTTGGATCAGTTTGGTTGCATATTATTCTGTTTTCTGAAACACGGGCGTTATGTAACTGAAATCTTTGTGTCTGTGAGTCTGACATAAGTGCTTCTCTCTTGGAGAAAGAAAAGAAACACTCATCTTTCTTTTAAGTTAATGTATTTTTGTATAGAAGTATAAAGTAGAGAATAACATAAGCCTTTTTTAGTAACTTTGTTTTCAAATAACAGTCATAGCTGCATCATATGTGAATTAACATAATGAAAAACTTTATTCTGTATCTCTTTCTGGGAGGCCTGGAAGCCCAGAGCCCTAATTACTGAATATGAGCTTCTGAAAACTTGAAACGATGGGTTTGACAGAATACAAAGCACTTACAAAATATCTGTAAGGAGAAACACGGTCTTACAGATCTGTCCCAAAGCAGTCATTTTTCTTTGACCAAGGAAGCATGCTACAGAATACCTATATTTACATAATTTAAAGACCTTGGTTGTCTGAGATGTTCTGTGTACTCTTAGCTGTCAGATCAGCATTTAGAAAAAACTTTGACCATCTTGCCTGGGCTCAGCTCTGACACTGCTAAAATGCATGCTTCCATTAATATGCAGATAGAAGTCTGTTGTGATAAGATACTGGAAGTTATTTCCAAATGCAAACACTGAGTATTCCAGGAAAAGCAATTCTGCAGAAAACAGCCCTCCTGCTTCAAATCTCAAACTGAAGTCGATCCTGGATACATTCCTGCAAGTGCTTTGAGTGGTGAAAAGTTCTTCCTGTTCAAAACGTGGATCTCATTTGGAGTGCTGAGCAGTGCAGTGCTGTGCCCTACTTGCTGTGTTTTTAGAAGCAGGCTGAGAGGGCAGCCACTGCCTCTTGTGGAGACTTGACAGAGTTACAGAGCTCTGGATCAGGGTGAGCCCATGGGAGGAGTGAGGGAAGATAGGGAGGGAGACAGAAACTGCCCACCTGAGAATCCCAGGCACTGGAATCGATGTCTGTTGAGCGGGCTGAGACATGGAAGTCTTCTGTATTTTTTATCTTTTGAATGTAAATCCTCTTTTGGTGCAAGGCTGGTCGTTAAGTGTCTCTTCACATATTTGAATGAGGATGGTTTAGAACAACAGTGGATAATAATCAAAGTGAAATATCACTCAAGGAAAGGGACAAGTTAGTTTCATTCTTCTGTTGTACTTGCTGAATGATCAGTTTGGCAGTAAGCTTTATTTCAATGAATAAATAGTGTTATTGATTTTACTGACTTGTTGTTCTTCATGCTTGTTGATAATCAATTAAACTGTCCAGTATTCACGTTTATTCCTGAGGACAGTGAAAGTAAAACATGATTCATGTGTCCTTTGCAGTTAGAGATTCGTGGTACCTATGTTCTGGCTGTGATCAGTGTCAGGAATCAATTCTGTATATGAAGTTTTCCTTTTTCCTTGCTGTTAGGCACTGTCATCTCTGTTTGTCAGCTTGAGAGCTGAAGTGAGAGAGGGATTGCTGAGACTCCATGGCCAGATGTGCCCCAGAAACAGCATTTCTGCATTGGATCCCTAGATAAGGGGACTTCTTCATGCATTTGTTAAGAAATTATACTTCATATGCCTGTGCCATTTGGTTTAGTTATGATAATGCAGTTTAATCTATTTTTGATAATGCATCTAACAACCATTGGCTGGTGTGAACCAATACTTCCATATGTTGTTTTTTAGCACATAGAGCTCTGGAATTTTTCACCAAACATGAAGGCAACGTCGATTATAGACAGGTAAGAAGCAATATTATTTCTCAATGTCGTACCTTTCCTCTGAGTCTTCTTCTGTCTTCTAACCTTTATTTCATTCTCAGTAATATGTGTGTAACTGCTGTGCCTGGGCTGGATTTCTTTTTCCTTTTTTGTTACACAATCTAGCAGACCACTTCAAATGTACAGACAGTTTTCATAAACACGTATGCATGTGCACAAACAAAACATATTTGTTTTTCATGAAGAACATTTTCAGTATCACTTATGGCAATCTAAAGATAACGTGATCTCTTATGATAGTAGGAGATCACTCAAAGGAAGCAGTGATGTTTTTCATGGATGTTTTATCTGCTTTAGACAACCAAGGTGTGACTCAGAGGACGCTAGTTAGCAGCCCAGGCTTTGAGTTTAGTCAAGGGGGCACTTTCTGAAGGTGGCTTCACCAATACCTAACTTATATCACATCTGTCCTTTCCTCAATGGCCTTTCATATTATAGTGTGTACTGACCAGCTTAATTTCACTTACAGGGTCTGGAGTGGTGGGAGGGAGGATGATGGCACTGAAATAATGGCACATCTCACTGGCAGTATTTATCTTTGATACTGACAGCAGGACTTGGTTTTTTGCTATGTAATAGCATTCTGATTTCTTTTCCAACTCCTTTTCTCAGTTGTTACTAAACCACCAAGATGCATTTCAGGCTGGGAGCATTTATCCTGATGCTTTTTATCCTCCAATCTGCAAACGTGGTAAGGAAAGATTTTTGAGTCCAATATTGTAGCAGCTGTGTTGTCATGTGAAAACTCTACAGAGTGTAATAGGGCTGAATGTAAATGTGCTGTAAGAAATCGAATATGACCAAAAGTACCTTCCTATAAAAGCATCCACACTTTTTGTTAGAATTCTGAACCTTTCTTTGTAGAACTTGGTAGCAAACTAACAGGCTTGAAAACGTTTTCAGAAAATAGATTTTGAGTACATTTAGCTGTTTGGCACGTGAAGCAATTTGATGTAAGGATGCTGTTTGACTGAAATAGGTTAGATTGCAGAGTACCCATCTAGGGAGAAATTGAGAGGATGAAAAGATCATTTTTCTAAGTCCTAGTAGCTGCAAAGGGACAGCTGATGGTAGTCCTGCTTAGCCCTGGGTGGGTGGTAACTGCCTTGAAGGTACTGAGTTGGCTGCTATGCCCCTCATCTTTTCTGCTACACACTTTGAAGCTTTAATTTACTCAGAGCTTCTCCCTCTCCTCTCCACTTGGAAGGCAATATTTCTTTGTATCACACTTACAGAGAAAGGGAGCAGGCACAAAATTTTTGGATGCATCAAACGCAGTCATGTAAGCATCTAGCATCTCTTCTGTCAGTAGAAATCATACAGAAAATATAGCTAATTTGGCTTTTGCTATATAAACAGATTGCAAAATGTAGCACCTGTGCAATATGGAATTGAGCAAAGATCTGTTTGTTTTCATGGAGAACCCCTTATTTCAAACAAATATTAATAAATACAGATATAATTCTGTTGCAATAGGGATATACCATGATGTGTCTGAAGATACTCACTGGTCACCATTTCTTAATGCAAGTATTCACTACATCAGAAGGAATTATCCTCAGCCTTGGGAAGAGGTAAGAAAAGTTCTTTAACTTTTGAACTGATTTTCTGTTGTTCTATTTGGCTGCACTTGTTGCTGCCTTCTTCAGCTTCCCTTGTTTTTGCAGCTTTATCCTTTGGGAAATGTGAAAGAATACATAAGATTTTAAAAACTAAAATCTCTGCTGATAGAGGAAAAGTTGAAATCTTGCTTTCATCTTTACCAGACAAAAAATTAACAGCTTCCACATAAAATCTGTTGTCTCTAATGTGCTCTGGTGCTTTTGGTGTATTTTGTAGGTCCAAATTTTCAAATGTGATTGGTGGTTTTGAGTGCTTGCATAACTGTCAGATCTGGCTGAGTGTTTGCCATTTGAAAACCAGACCTAGTTTAGAATTCATACTTAGACTTAATCCTGATTTGCTCTTTTTTATACCAGGGGAGAGGAAGAACAGATTGTTGGAAGTGAGAATGATTTTAAAAGTCCTGCTGTTTTCTTTTCCTTGTTGGAGTATTTGCCATTCTCTCACTGCACAACAGAACTTTACAGTTGGAGCAGCATTTGAGTGTATTCACTATCTAAAAATACACAGAAATCTGCCTGCTTTTTGACTGGCCTGTGGTGATACTAAAGTGTGAACTGTTTAACTTCAGGAACTATAAATTCATCCAAAACTTGTGACTTGATTACAGATTTTTTTAATGGCCTCTGGAACTGACAAGGATTTGATATAGAGAAATCTTTTCTGAAGAAGTGAAATGAAATTTGTGTTGCTCATAAGTTTATTCTGGATAACTTTTCTGTTTGTAGGAATAAAATGAGTAACTTGGCTTTAGTCAAATGCTTTTATAATGAATAGCATTTGCACAGGAGCATCTTTCTCTTCTCTGTGTGTATTTGCACAGTACTTCAAGTGGCAGAGGAATTTCACTCCTTGGGATAGGAAGAGTTTGTCCCTAGTCCCAAAACACGTATCTGACTGGAAGCACACAGGCTGTGTTCTGACATCAGCCATTTAACTTCATGGCCTTGAATGAAGTGCTTACAGATTGTCAAGTTACAGAAACAATTCTCCAGTATCAAGGAATGAGTGCTCACTGTTCTGTTGTGCTAAATTCTTGGATTGCAATAGATTATCCATTGCATCTTTGAGTAATGTAAAACAAAAAAGACAGGAATAAAATTATGGATGGTACTACATGTGTATTGTTATTGTGCAGGCTACAGAGAAGCTGGTGGCTTTCCTGTTTGGGATTGCCTCACATATGGTGGCAGATGTTAGCTGGCACAGCCTGGGCATCAACCAAGGATTTTTAAAAGCCATGGGAGAAGTAAGTTTGGATTATTCTATTAACGTGACTGGAACTGTTAGTATTGCTAGTTCAGCTCTGGAGTCTGGTACAGAGAGAAGATAAAAGCTGTACTCCTGAATCAGGAAAATTTTGAGAGAGACACGATGTCACAAAGTCTGTATGAACAAAGTAAGTCAGGTTTGGGACCTACAAGCTTCAGAGCTGTTTGGACAATTTGATTCTGCTCTTGTGTTTGTATTGTAGGATGAGTAAAATGATCAGCAAGGTGTTCTGTGTTTTTTTTTTCTTTTTCCAGGTTGATTTTCATGGTTCATATTCAGAAGCTCACAGTGTTGGAGATTTTGGTAATATTTCTGTTTGCTGAACATAGATCCTTCTTGTTGGGATACCTAGTACACATGAAAAGCACAATTGGTGATTCTGGCTCTTACCCTGTGTAGTGAAAGTCACAAGACTCTCCTGCAGCTTGCAAAATCCTGCTATCCCTGTCTGCATGTTTTGTGTTTCAGGAGGTGCAATAGGGCATACAGATCCTTGACTTAAAGCCAAAACACAGGCTGAAGTATGCTAAAGGTTAAATGCAGTCACTCCTTGGATTTTAAATTTGACACCATTTTTGCTATTGTCTGGAAGTACGAAATATGCAGTATTCTTTCAGGTGAACCATCTCTGTATTTTAAATGACCAAGATTTGGGTGCCATATAAAAATATACAGCATAGCCATAGTTAGATCCATTCACACTTATCCTTGTCAGATACTTACGTGTTTGTTGGGTTTTGTGTTTTGCTTGTTTGCTTTTTATTCCTCCATCTACAGGAGGAGATGTACTGAGTCAGTTTGAGCTGGACTTCAGTTACCTGACACCAAACTGGTAAGAGAATGGCTTTCAGCAGAGGTTAACCACTCCAATGATTATCTCAGTTTATTCTGTACTTTTCTTTCAAAACCTTTGCTACAGGAATATTCCTCATATGCATATTTTGTGTTCTCTGACATAAAGAACTGGGAGGACAGAAAAAAAGAGTTTTAGATGTTGCAATACAGCAATAAAGATTTATTCTTTAACTCTGATGGAAATTATAATTATAGATAACAAAAAATTGCTTCTTGGAATGTCCTACCAATTATTTAAATGTGCAGGTAATGTCTCACTTAGATCACCATTTTTATTTTAGGGCATTGGGGATGTTTATGGCTATAGATACTGAGGAATTCAGACAGGCTTTCAAAGCATAAAAAGAAGCAGCAGTTTTAAATAGGCATGCTTGTTTTCTTGCCATTTTTAAATGAAAGACCTGGTGTGGTAGGTCATTTGAGTCTTATTTACATGAAAGATAGTTCCTCTAGGTATAGAAGATGGTCAGTTATCTCCTCAACTTCATCACCTCTGACGTACCTCTGAGAAATGTTGAGATAGGAAAATATGAGCACCATCCTTTTGGCTAGGAATGGAGTTGAATTGGAACAGGTTTGCCAACAGTGGAGGTTTGGAGGTTATGTGATCACCACACCAGGGAACCAGTAGAGGAAGAGTGGAAACTAACCAGCCATGGCTATAGCTATTACAGAAACTGAATTATCTTTTACCAGGTGATGTGGAAAAACTTTTACAATACCTCAGTCTTGTTCTTAGGTATGTACCTGTCAAAGACCTAGCCTCTATCTATAAGGAATTTTATGGAAGAGAGATCATAACTGAAGGCACAATTACTGACTGCACTTACCTGCTGTTTCTTGAGCTGTAAGTTGGATAGCTTTGTGTAGATTTTCCTTTGTGAATCTTATATAGGAAAAAGATGATAATCTGGCTTGAAATGCTAGCTCAGGAAATTATGCTTTGAGGCCAGGAATACAAAAATCATAAGGTACTTTTTTTTTTTTTTTTTTTTTTTCTTAATGTCTAAAATACAAATTTGAACTGCTTAAATGGCTGTTAGTTTTGTTATTACACCATAGCTTCTGTGTCTAAGCTATTTAACAGGTTTATGCACTGAACATATTTAGGCCTGTTTATTTCAGAACAGCCAAGTCTTCAAGTATTGTTGCACTGTGACATGTTAGCAATATAATTTTAAGGTAATGAAGCTCAGTATGCATACTTAAATGGACACTTTACTTACTGTTTATGTATATCCTATCAAATCCAAGAATAATTCATAGAGATAACAACTATGACATTTTTGCTATCTCACAATGCCTGCTTGGAAGACCTTAAACCACCTAGCTGTATTCTTTATTTCAGTTAATTATTACCAGATTTATGCAGTATTTAAAAGCTCTGTAAATCCCTCCAGATTAAGAGCTACAGTACAGTTAAAATTGTTACTTTTCACATTAAAATCCTATTAACAACTAAGAAGGAAATGTAATTATTTGCATAGTATTTACCACATGCAGAAGTACAGAAACCTTGAAAAGAAACTTACAAATCATGAAATGTTTTTAAGTTAAATTTGTTGATTTCTGAAGAATTGTGATTTATTTTTTTTTCAGACATGGAGAAAGGCTTGCTGTTGCCAAGGTTAGTTTGCTCTTTTTGGTTTATTTTTTGGGGTTGAATATGTAATGCAAAGACAGTGTGATCCATTTTACTATCTGTTTTACTGAGTATGTTGCTTGTCTCTTAGCTCTTTCCAACATATGCTAGTAAATCTCCATTTCTGGTGGAAAAGTTCCATGAATATTTCCTTGGAGGAGTAGATGACATGGCATTCTGGACAAACAATATTTTTGAGCAGATGAGCCGAATGCTGGAGAATGGAGTCAGGTAACACTGTGTTTCTTGCAACATTAGATATAGTATTCAAGCTCTGGCACACATTTAATCCTTCTGAAAGCAGGTCATTTCCTAGAATAAACACCTTAAATCCTCACGTGGACCAAAGGAAGTATGCCTGTTCTTTGACCAGATGCACAGAGGAAAGCATGGACCCTGAGACTGCATTTGCAACATGGTCACATTCTTCTCTCCATGCAAAGCTGGGTCATGCCCAGCAGATACTCAACTGGGGAAACCTGGGGCGTTCTTTAAGATGTATCCAATGGTGTGCACAAGTGTTGCATAGCCAGACTGAGGTTCTTCCTGGCCTGGTGATCTGAGCAGTGCTTGTACTATGTGACTGCTCTCATCAGCTGATGGAGATGATCCTTCCTAGAGGAGGCCAAATGCTCCCTGCAGGTAATGCAAGCAGATAGGAATATAAACAGTAAGAATGGATGTTCTAGCATTGGAAGTTTGGGCTTATATTCAAAATATCATGTTTTTATTGAAGTTCTGGCCCTGTATTGCCTTGGTACAAGTGTAACTTTACTATAAATAACATTGTAAGACCATGGGAAATAATCCATACATCTAATGGATAATGTTAACAGAGATATTTTGGGAAATAATGTTTGGACATGATATGGCATAATCAGTTGAGTTCTTTGTTCCAAAATATCATTTTCATTAAAAGACTGTAAAAAATAATTCTTTTCTATTTATTCTGTTAATACTATTAATAGAATTAGCAGGACATGTTCCAATAAGTTTCATTAAATGAGTGGAGACATGCAAGATTCATATAGAACCTAAGTCATTAAGTACAATCAAGGCCATTAAAATACCCATCAAAGGAGTTTCTATGGCTTGTGATACCTTCCTGAAATTGATTAAGCAGAGCTTCTTTAGAAAGCTGATGCCTTCCAACAGGAGAATCAGTAAGGATAAATGTTGAAGCTTTAGTTTCACTTGCATTGCAAGAAAATCTTCAAAACACATTCTGAATATTTTTTTAGTGGCTGCTTTCTGCCTGAGAACCCTCTGTTTATAAACTGTACAAGGGACCACAAGGATAACTACCTGTAAGTATAACTAAAGGTTCAAAGACTTAATACTGGTGACAGAAGAGTCAGTCTTTCCCTAATGTGGACAGTGAGCTATTGAAAATTAGAGATCTTTTTTTTTTCCTTCAGAACTTTCTTAGCCTACTTGCAACAAGTATTAATGGTTTAATTTACAACTTCAGTCACATTAGGACAGTGGAATGTTCCTTACAGGTAGATAATGGTGGGAAAGAAATAAAGGACAAAAAGATGTGATAAAAAACACATCCTCAAAGACAACAGTGCGTCCTTGAAAATAGCCATGCTGAGTAAAGAGAGGACAAGAAAGCACAGAGTTTACTAAAGTCTGTCTTTAATTTACTATGGAGAATAATAATAAACTGATGCCTATGATTAGATGAAAAGAGCAGCAGCAACTGTAGCTAAATCAGTATATGGGGTTATGAAACCTTATGGGTTGAGATACTAATTACCTTTATTTTATTGCATATTTACTGTGAGTTTTTATCTTCAAGCTCTTACCTTAGCTGAGAAAAGAGCTCTTGTCCTTGGGTGCTCTCCTCAACTAACACCACACCAACATCAGTAGTTGTAAGTTGGAGCAGAATTCTGGCCAGGGCTAGGTAGTAATAAACTCATTTGTTGAGGAAGGGTAATTCCATGGAAATAGTGGAAATATCTGAAACAAGTGAAAACGACTGGCAAAATGTAACTACAGCAAAAAATTAACTTCTTTTGTGGGGAAAGAGAAAAAGTGGTGTGTGAAGTCAAGAAACAGGCATGTGGCTTTGGTAATTCTGGATTCAAAAGGCAAGATGATTATTTCTCCTTGCTTTGTTATAAAAAACGTCATTAATTCCGTTGTATTAATTGTTATTAGTGCCTTTTTATTTTAACAGAAGCAAACACTCAAAAAATGAACATCACAAAAATACAACTTCTTCACTTCCAAAGACATTTGAAAAGAATATAACCTATACAGAGAGAGGAGTTCACTTCAGTATACAGTCTTGGGCAACAGTAAGTGAGATGTGGCATGTGTCAGGTACAATTCAGCTCTGGATAAAACTGTTTAATTTCTGTCTGAGGTGCTGTTTGTGGTCTCTGGATGTAAACTGTAGCCTCTCACTTCACTTCATGGAGATTCTGGCAACCACTGTAAAATCATATATGATGTAGATACGAAGTACATCATAAATACTAAAGCTTTGGGGTTTTCCTCATTTTGTAGTGAGGTTAGAACATATTTTACAGTGTCAAAATGTCAAAAATACATCTTTAGCATTAAATTTTATGGAATCATATGATCACTTTTTGAAGTTAAAAAATTTCAACCTCAGACTTTTTGTCGCTTTCTAAAGCAGTGCTTATGACCCAAATCAGAGTTGATGTAGATCAATGTGGTGTTTTCCACTGATGATGACTTATTTTTGGAGGTCGTCTGCACTGTTTCAGCCTATGGTTCACAAATTCTTGTGTCTCACTGTTATTTTTATTTCAGAATTCCCTCCGATTCATAAATCGTGCTTTTGCAAAAACTGTCTGGAGAGTGATAGCAACTACACATCAAAAATCCTCTAAGTACATCCCTAAGCCAATATCTTCATATTTTCTTGCTTCGCCATATGCTAGACTTGGATGGTTTGTACTTTTTTTTTTTCAAGCCTCCCTCCTAATTTCTGAAAAATTTGTGTACCTACCAGAATATTGATTTTTATTCTTTGGATACTTGTTAGAATCTAGACCTTCAGATGTGGTCTTGTGGACTGATGGCCACTGCCTGTTGGAGAAGGTCCAGAGGAGGGCCACAAAGATGATCAGGAGGCTGGAGCACCTCCCTGCAAAGACAGGCTGAGGGAGCTGGGCTTGTTCAGCCTGGAGAAAAGAAGGCTGCAGGGTGACTTCATTGCAGCCTTTCAATACCTAAGGGGAGCCTGCAAACAGGAGGGGAATCAACTCTTTGATAAGGGTTGATAACAGCAGGACAAGGGGAAATGGTTTTAAGTTGAGGGAGGGGAGATTTAGGTTGGATATCAGGGGGAAATTCTTCACAGAGAGAGTGGTGAGGTGCTGGAACAGCTGCCCAGAGAGGCTGTGGATGCCCCGTCCCTGGAGGTGTTCAAGGCCAGGTTGGATGGGGCCCTGGGCAGCCTGGTCTGGTATGAAATGGGGAGGTTGGTGGCCCTGTGTGTGACAGGGGGTTGGAGATTCATGATCCTTGAGGTCCCTTCCAACCTGGCCATTCTGTGATTCTGAGATTAGAGATGAGAGATTACATAAATTTGTATAGCTACTCATTTTGGTTTATTTCTTCTGATTCAAAAATTCAAGATTTAATTCTTGAGGTTACTCCACACCAGCCAATGGTAGTTCTTTCTCTCCATGTTCCCCCTTTAAACCTCTACTATGTTATTGAGGCCTGTGATTCATTTGTTTATCTACTGTTATGACCATTGATTTAATTAGAGATTTGGTTAAAATGAACCTGTTCTTATTTAGTCCAGGTAAACAAAAATAAATTATGTCATATGAAAAATGCCATGTAGGTCCTTACTGAAAAGATGAGGAAAGATACCTGAAATTAAAAGTATTTATTTTCTGATAATGTAGAGGTAGTCTGGCAGCTAATGCTGTGGTTTTGTTACCTCCCTTATACAGGGCAATGATTTCAGCTGACATAAACCAGGATGGATATGAAGATCTGGTAGCTGGAGCACCAGGCTACAGCACACTGGGCCACATTCAGATAGGAAGGGTATATATAGTCTATGGCAATCGTTCAGGTTTGCCACAAGAAGACATGGATCTGGATGAAAAAGCAGACCAAGTACTAGAGGGTCATCAGGTGAGGAGTCATGTCAGATACTTGATGCTGAGGGGCAGGATCAGATGGTCTTTTTGAGCAATAAAGTTGATCCTCTATAGAAAATGTAATTATTCACACAGAAGAGAATAGCTTGTCGTTTGTAAGCATGACATCAGTGGTGCATTAGACTCAAAAAATGAAATAGCATAGCACTGCCTCATTATATTCATTATATTAGCTTATATGTTAACAACAGCATATCCTCAAGGAGAACAGGCCGCTCCCAATTAGTGTATTATTAACATGGTTGTTATTTGAGAGAACAGTGATGATAAGAAAATCTTAATAATTGTCGGGGTGGATTTTTATAACAGCTGTTTCCAGTTCTTCCCTGTGCTGTGATTGCAAACGTACATTGTGTTTTGGCATTTTGTCTTTAAAACATTTGTTACTTTCATCAGAGCAGTCCCTCTTCTTTTAGCCTTCAGGCAGATTTGGTTCTGCATTGGCAGTCCTGGACTTCAATGAGGATGGAGTGCCAGATCTGGCAATTGGAGCACCTTCTGTGGGATCTCAGTTTCTCAGTTACAAAGTAAGTCATACACAGGTTTTGTGTTTGCTTGTTTTTTGTGCATATGTGTTTGGTTTTTTTCCCTCAGATCATTTTTATTGATGCTTATGTTTTTTAGACTAATGAAATGAGACAAAGAATATCTGTTATTGTTCAAGGGCGCTTTTTAATACAAACAGGAAGGTTTATAACATTTATGGATACTTTGACTAGATCAATGAAAGTTATCCAGATGTCCTTTTTTTTTTTTTTGGCTGACTTTCTGTGCAAATCAGATTTCAGTCTTGCAGCATTGATGTGCTGGAAATATTAGAAGCCATTCATAAAATCTGAGTGTACTGTTCTATTAGGAACAAAAAGTCTGGAAGGAACCTGATATCAGTAAGCCTTGTCCTCTGCTGTCACAGGCCAACAGACAATATCTAAAATGCAGCATGAACACAGGTGCTAAAGTAATCAAAAAACTACAGTGGCTTAATAATTTGAAGCTTACCAAATTATCTCCTGTTAATGGTCACTGAATGTTTTCTTTCCACCTGAACTGAGAGGCATAACTTGTTAGGCTAATGCACTTCCACTAAGTTTAAAGCTCTTCAGAATTTTCAATACTAAATTAGCTGCCTAAGTACTAATTTAAATGCTTCTACGTAGACTAAAACTTTGGAAAATTGCAAGCATCTGTTGTGTCTGGCACTGCATCCCATTGCATTAAGGAATTTTAAACAAAATGAGAGTCAAAAGAACTTGCATGTAGTTAATGTAATATACATTATACCATCCTCACTCCTAAACTGCAGTATGATGAGAACACACTTGGTTATAGCAATGCCCATTCCAGTTTGGGTATTTTAAGGCTTGGAGTGAAAAGACAAATTCATGAAAAAGCTTTGACAGGAAAAATACAGTTGTATTAGTAGCCCTTACAAAATTGTTTCACTCTGATCTTTGTCTTGGATTTCATACTTGGGGCTGACTTGCAAATCTTTTCATGTTGTGTTTGCTTTTCCTGTTATTCAGGGTGCTGTATATGTCTATTTTGGAACTAAGGGAAGAGGCTTGGCATCTCAACCAAACATGACCATAACTTGTCAGGTATATTGATCAGGCTAAGACAGTGCTACACAAGAAGGAGGTGAGGTAAAAGGGAAAAGGGCCTGTGGGATTAAAGAAAAGATGTTGAAACCAAACTTCTAATTGCAAGGGGATATAGATGTGTAACTGGGGATGGTGTGAGCAGATGTTTGTCTAGGTTGGCTATGCATGGGAAATACATTTGTAATCCACTTCAGGGGAGGGAGCAGGATGAACAGAAAGGAAGAACAGCCCTCCAAAAAAAGAAAACAAAATTGAAGTCATGGAGTTGGAGGGTAATTTGATCAGAAGTGGGCAAAGTTATCTCTTTAGAAGTAAATTCCTTTATTTTGTTAACGAATCGGTGGTTTAAGTTCCATTTCAGGCTTAAACTAACTGTTTATTGCAGTATTCCTACTGTAATCTTGGTTGGTCCCTCCTGGCAGCTGACATTGATGGAGATCAAAATGCTGATCTGGTTGTTGGCTCTCCATATGCACCTGGTAGTGGTCAACAGAGAGGATTTGTAGCTGCATTTTACTCTTATTTCAACAGAAGTAACCAAGGTAGTATTTATTGGGTAAAATTAATCCTGCTGTTTTTTATATGACTGCTCACTTGTTCCTACTTAATTATAAGATAATTCAGATTATCAGCCACTCCTCTCAGTTTTGAGTCATCCATAATCTTGCTAAGGGTACACTTCGCCCCATCATCCAGATTGTTAATGGAGATTATAAACAGGACAGAAATACTGCTAATTACTGGCCTCCAGCTGGGCTTTGCACCACTGATCAATATCCTCTAGCTCAATTATTCAGCCAGTTTTTTTTCTGCCTCACTGCCTGCTCATCCAGCCCATACTTCACCAGCTGCTGTATGAGGATCTTACAGGGAAAGGTGTCAAATGCTTTAGTGAAGTCCAGGAAGACAATATTTCCTGCTCTCCCCTGACATGTAAGGATGGTGTTTTGTTTATAGAAGCTTATCAGATTGGTCAGGCATGATTCTTAGTGATCATGCCTTACTATTCCTAGTGACTTTCTTGTTCTTTGTGTGCTTGGAAAGGCTTTCTAGGATTAGCTGCTCCATCACCTCCCTAGGGTCTAGGAATGCTGACCAGGGACATCCTTGAAGATAGGAGTGACATGTGCCTTTGTTCAGTCTTTGGGCACTTCTAGTCACCATGATCATTCAAAGATTATTGTGACCTAGTAATTCAGATAGTAATTTGATTTTTATAATTTGAATTATATTCAAAGAATAATTCAAAGATTCAGACCTTCACAATTACTAATTGGTTGAGTAAACTAAAGTCTACTTGCCTGAAGTTCAGGCTCTGCTACCATTCTACTTGTTTTTTTTTAATCCATTCAGGCTCTTGACCTCCCCTATTTCATGGCCAGAGGGCCAAGACTGCCACTGATTATAAGATCAGGTCTATAGTGTTAGTGCACAGCAGGTCAAGCTGTGCAACACCCCTGCTTAGCTCATCCAGTTCCTACAAGAAGTCACACCAGACACCTTCTAGAAATCATACCCTGTGAATCCTGCTAGGTCTCACTTTCAGCAGATGTAAGGAAAGACCAAGTCTTTTGTAAGAACTGAATTAAAAATGCTAAAGTTCCTCTTGTAGTAAGCATGCACTTTTTTCCTGTACTACTCTCAGTACCTATTTCCTATGGACTGTCAATGTGTCATGTATGCTGTCTGATAATACAAGAATTGATTCTGATCAATGAAAACGTAAAGTTTATAAACATACACTGTAGGAAGATGAAATCCTCCTGCTAGGAATGCAATCCTGGATTTTAATATCTTTGACAGTCAGGCCTGCTGAAGTCATTAGTTTGCACACAGGCAGCAACTCTGTGAGACAAAAATAAATGGGTGATTTTGTAGGAGCTGTGGATTCAACTGCAGACTGACAGGTCTTCCTTGAAAATTTGCAAGTGTATCTTGAAAGATGATTTTCTGTCATTACCTGTGCTCCTTGGTGTGGACAAAGGAGAGTGCTACAAGTGAAATATCTAGTGAGTACAGGTGATGGGGGCTGCTGTGAATGGGGAAGGAAAGGCCACATACCTGACTAAGTAAAATTAGTTTAAGATGAGGTGGGATATGCAGGTATTCAAAGCTGCATCAGAACCACATAATTGAGTTTTCCAATATCTTCTACTGTTTTTTTTTAGCTTATTCTACTTTATCTAAAATTGAAAACCACAACTGAAACGCATTTAACATTTAAAACATCAGTGACTTTTTTTTTAACCAAAACACTGATTGAATGATTTGATGTCTTAAAGCCAGAATTATTTAATGCTCCTCCACCAACGTGGAAGAATTACAAGTTCCAATGAATAGTTTTGGCTTTTTCCCATCCCTAGGGACTCATCAGTTCAGGGCAGACTTGACTGATAACTGTCATGTAGGCTATTGTGATTCTTTACAAGCAGGCTGCATTGACCAAAGGCTTTGATGAAAGACTACAGTTGCAGATTTAGCATTGCTCTGCAATAAGTTCACGATAGCTGGTGTCATATCATTGATGGTAGTAATACTAATAGAAACTTCTCACCATAGCATGAGTTTATCAGTAGATGATTGCTAATAGAGTTTTGTGTGCCAGGTTACAAAATCTAATCTGCATTTTTCCGGTCTGTCAGGACTCCTGTCTATAGAGGATGCCAACTGGATGGTGAATGGGGAAGAAAACTATGCTTGGTTTGGATTTTCACTTCATAGCTGTCAACTGGAGAATGCAACATTACTGCTGATTGGTAGCCCTACATGGAAGAATTGTTTTGAGTGTGTGATGAACCACTGCTTTGTTTCTCCTCTATTCTGTTAAGATTTGTGATAGATGAGACTTCCTGCTTTTCAGGAAGCTTCCTCTTTGTCTTCTTTAGAGTATTTTTGTTTGTATTTTATACCTTTGCCCTTCTTCATGTATTTACAGAGCAAGGACTTTGTTTTTTAGAGACACTTGAAAATCTGTGGGGCTTTATTGTGGTTCAGCCTGGCAGGTGGCTCAGCAGCAGAGTTGTTCATTCATTCTCCCCCTTCCCAGTGTGATGGGGGACAGACCAAAAAAACCCAGCAAAGTATAACTCATGGCTTGAGATAAAACTAATTACTAAGATAAAGAAAAGAAAAATAGTTATGACTATGTAAGACTTTATATATCTAACTGTATATAGCTAGCATTGCACACATAATTTCTCACCACCCCCTAACCAATGCCCAGCTATTCCTCTCAGCAGTAGAAGAGAGCCAGATGCACTCCCACCCCTACAAAACTCCTTCTGCTTGATGTCATATGGTATGGAATACTCCCTTGTCCAGTTTAAGACAGCTGCACTCATTCTGTTCCCTCCCAGGTCCTTGGGGCCTTCATTGCAAATAGGCCTTGGCTCTGTATAGCACTGTTTGGCAGTAACCGTAAACATAGATGTGTTATCAACATTGTTTTTTCTCCTCAAACCAAAACATAGCATCCTACCAGACACTCTGAAGAAAACAACTCTATCCCAGCTGAAACCAAAACTGATTTTTTTGATGGGAGGGAAGGGAGCAAAAAAATGCCAACAAGTAGATGTGTCTGCAGATAGCACTTATTTTGAGATAATGTTCTCAAAAGCAGATTAAACACAAACATATTTTGAGTGTTAAAGAAGTGGAGGATAAGTGTGTGCCGAAATGATCTTAAAACTTGTTAGAACATGAGAATGACTACAATAAGTTTCTAAATGGGAATTTCTAAAATAGATTTGCTGCCATCGTCATTCCAAACTAAAAGTGGAAAATATTTTAAGATGAACAGACAGCTGAATCTGAGCACTTTAACTTCTAATTCAAGGTGCAATCCCTTCTCATCGGACGTCAGACAAAGTGTTGGGAAAGTGTATGGATATAACCCACCAAGCACAAAGCCCTGGTTTACAATAACTGGAAACAAGGTAGGGCTCTCTCCGTGGGATGCTGCTTTACAAACAACTGGAAATAGAGTGACATTCTGTGGAAATAAGTGTTTTTAAAATCTAACAGGCAATGGGCAGAATGGGTTTGTCACTGGCCAGTGGTGTGATGTCTGTGGCTGGGATCACCAGGACAGTGTTGGTGGTGGGGGCACCTACTACAGGTATGTCATTCTCAAAACTGCAAAGCGTTTCTGCTTTGGGATGTCTGTTTCTGTGTGAGTGAAGGGCAAAAACAAGAAGGGAAATTTTAATTGCCAATATAGTGTAAAAATATTTTTAAAATTTAGAAATAATCACTGTCATCACTTACAGGTGACTTGCATTTTTTTCTTCTGTTGCATTATTTATGGAGCAGTAATTTGCAAGTAGACTGCACATTTCTTGGAATTAAAACAACATAGTATTTTGTGCTTACTCTGGAATTGGATAGTAAGGAAATGCATTAATCAAAATGTGGAACTCTGATATCTGTCGTTAGAATGTGCTTTTGCTAAGAGATTGTTTCTATGCTAACCAGAGTTACTGCCATATATTATCTGGTGGGTGGTTCATACATGTTTTTAATTTGGTTCATTTTGTGTAATGCCATTATTATTGCTGTCAAGGTGTTTGAAGTACTAAACATGAATTTTTATGTCTGATGATCAACTTACTTTGTTGTTGCTTTCTAGACAGTCTATCTAGGATTTCATTTTTGTCCCCGGTGTTGCACCAAGCTGGAATAGCTCTGATATATGATCTGGCAGACAGCACCAAGCCTTCTTCGCTCAGTACATTCAGTGGGGACAGAAGGTTTTCTCGCTTTGGAGGAGATACATACTTAAGTGACCTGGATAATGATGGACTAGGTAAAGCCAGATGAATCTAAATTGCAGAGTTGAAATGTTTCATGCTTTGCAGCAAGATTGGTCATACACATTCTCATACAAGTGCTGAATGCAGCCTTCTTACTCAGTCTTCTTAGTTACTTGTACAACACTTGTACAAATATTCCATCATGCCTCCTGAGGAGACATCTCTAAAATCCCAAATAATTCAAACAGAAATTGAAACATTTTAACCATTTTAATCACTACATACCTCTAAATACCACCATTCCATTTAAAATGTTTTGATTTCAAACTATCATGTTGTGACATAGCATTATTTCACTTTTGATAAGCTCTGTCATTCTTCTAATTTTTGCAGATGAAATGATTGTAACATCCCCCCTGAGAACTAATGATATCACCACAGTACTGCTTGGTGGGACAGCTGGCCGTGTTTACATCTATAATGGAAATCAGTCATCTTCAGGGAATGTGACAGACCACTGCAAATCATGGATATCTCCCTGTCCTGAGGACTGGGTAAGAAAAAATAACAGTGAAATCGTGATGCAAGATCATAATGATAGCTAATTAATTACATCCTATGCAAATACTGGGCTTGGTTTCAGAAAAAAAAAAAAAAAAATGAAAATTACTTCTGTTTTGGAATCTGTGTAATTTGGCTTCTGTTTGTTCTCAAGCACTCTGGAGCACTGAGTCCAGTTCTGGGCTCCTCAGTTCAAGAAAGACAGGGAACTTCCAGAGAGCCCAGAGGCCACAAAGATGATTAGAAGCCTGAAGCATCTCCTTTGTGAGGAACGGCTGAGAGACCTGGCACTGTCGAGTCTAGAGAATACTGAGAGGGGATCTTATCACTGCTTATAGATCTACTGGACTGGAGTCAGGTGGAAGGGGCCAGGCTTGTTTCAACAGTGCCCAGTGACAGAACAAAAAGCAATTGGCACAGACAGGAACACAGGAAGTTCCATATGAACATGAAAAATAACTTTGCTGTGAGGGTGACAGAGCTCTGAAACAAGTTGCCCAGACAGGCTGTGGAGTCTCTCTGGAGATCTCTGGAGATACTCAAAATTTGCCTGGATGCTTTCCTGCTCAACCTACATTAGGGAACTTGCTTTAGCAGGGGGTTTGGAGTAGATGATCCCCAGAGGTACCTTCCAACCCCTGCGATTGTGTGATTCTGTTTCTTTGCTGTCTGGGAGCCAGGGCTATTGCACTGGCCTTCTCCTCTCCTACTGTGGTCCTCTCCACTAGCTTTTTCTTTTTTTTTTCCCCTTCAGGCACAATATGTCCTCATTTCTCCTGAGGTGAGTAAATGGAAAACAAACTGCTATGAGGAATGGAAAAGTCCCACTTTAAAAACAGCATTGTAACAAGTAGCATTATTTTACAGGAACAGTCAAGATTTGGAAGTTCTGTCATCACTGTGAAATCTGAAAAAAAGGTGAGCAAAGTAATTGCTTCTGGTGGCTTTGTTACATCTGTCCACATCACTTATGTGTATGGGTCAACATCTCGGGTCTTGCTCATTGCTCTTCAAACGTGCAATGAAGAAACACCTGGAAATGCGAATGCATCAGTTAGGTTAGAACTTATAATCCAACAACAGGCACAGACATTGCTGCTGGTTTCTGCATGAGTGCAGATGAGGTAGTTTTCCAATCATTTGTGCTCTTTTCCTGTGGCATCAGTCCAGGCTAAACTTCAGCTATATTTCTATTGATCTTGCTGGTGAGAGTTTATGTTGACACGAGATTTGACCAGTTCTAGCATTTTCCAAATGAAATGAAGTCTATTCATCAAATTTGTTAAATGCTGTTCAGATCAGGTGGGTGGCTTTCCCATTTCTTCTCATAACACGTCCATATGATACTAAAACAAAATCTAGTTTCCATTGGGGAAGCTTAAGGCTATCTTTCATCTGTAGTTGCACTTTGCTGACCCTTTTTCCAATCCATCTCCACAGAAAGAAGTCGTAGTGGCAGCAGAGAGAAGTTCAGCGAAAGCTCGACTTGGAGGAAGGCTTTTTCTCTACTCATTCTGAATAGTCCTGGTGGTCTTTAAGACCAGGGCAAAACTGGTCTTTCAAGGAAGAATCTCTGTAATATCTGTGATACTTTCCTCAACCCCTAACGAATCAACAAAAACATGACAGCAAACCTCAGTAGATACGTGGTACAGATAGCTAGGTAGCACCCCACATAGTATCCAGGGAGTGAGGCATGCTCACTGATCTTAAACCATGGCAAATTTTCACAAGTGAATTACCAAAACAACTTTTTGTTGTGAGGTTAACCAAAAGGATTTATTAATCACTGTTTAGCAGCAAACACTCTACTGCTTACTACACAACTAATAATTAAGCAAACATCAAAATCTAACACATTTTCCTTCCCTGAAATTACTGCTAGTTGATGCCTTAATATCTTTGTCTCCCCTGTAGCCCCTTTAGCTACAGGGCCTATTGTACTTTTGTATTCAAATCTTGTTATTTTTACTTTTCATTGGTGATGTTTAGCAGAAGTTCTTTGAGCATCTATACTTGAGATTATTGACATCTGAGGTCCTGTACCAAATAAAAAATTTACTATTTGTCTTTAGGGGCTGACTGGGACGTAAATGTGAGAGTCATCTGTATTATCCCACTGTTAAGTTTCATTTCTTCAGACAGGCAGCCCAAATACTATTCAGGGCTTACTTGTTTGGTTTTTTTTGGCTGCAGTGTTTGCAGTTCCTCCTTAAGAGGTCTAGAATGATCATTCCCATGGGTTTGGAGAGCAGGTGGTTGTTTGGTTTGCTTCACATTTCCTGTTACTCTTTGTTTTTGAAAGTCTGGGTGTAGACCTGAGTATAGCTCCATTTGGTCAGTCCTATATCACTACCCAAGGTGTGCTTCACACAAAGGCTTTTCTCCAAAGCTTATGCCTCTCCTAGGAACTTATAATTTTGTTAGGGGGTGTTGGGGTGCCTGTTTTACTTGTGTGACCAACCTGCAATCTACTTGATCTTCCCACCACGCTCCCACCATTCCTGGCCATGGCACAGGACTACAACCACCTTTTCAAGTTGCTCACCACTGGCTGTTGCATTTTGTGGATAATACATTCTCAGGCAGCTACATTACCACAGTTGGAACTGATTTTAAAATCCAGACAGTTTAGATCGGTGAAGAGGAAGTGAAGCCATTGATCTGGGACAAAATTGAACAACAGTGCTTCCAAATTATTACATCAGCATATTACTGAGGAACACATGGGATGTTGTTGTCTAAGAATTAACCAGTGCAGAATCTTTTACGAATGTAAAACAGTGTTTGCATGAAATTAATCAAACCTGTGATGATCTCTGTCATACCAGTGGGGAACAAGAGTGATGACCAACAGTGAAAAGTAGTAGACAGAGGATGCCTGTAGGTTTTCTGGGCAGATGGAAATACAACTGTTTGAGATCAGTGTAAAAGAAAATATTAATGTGGAAGAGGTGTTTAACTGCATTACAGAGCTATTCTGTGAGCAGAGAAAGAAAACTTAGTAACAGCAGAAATAGAATGATGGGGTGAAGCTAACAGAGTAGGAGAAGGAAGATGCAGTGCTGCTCATGCCCTTTCCCTGCTCAAGTGACTCTGCTCTGACAGGTCAGCCCTTCCACTAGCCTCAGGCAATTCCACTGGGAGGGCTTTGGAGGACTTCCTCAGTTTTGTGCCATTATTTAAATACTGTTTTTTCTCCATGTTTTCTATCAAGAGGCACTGATACACAACCACTTCAGTTCCCAGAAGGTATTGGATGGAGTCTCACCCCTCTCTTCTCTCCTGCTCATTCCAGCATGCGTTGTAGACAAGAAAGGACATTGCCTACCAAGTGGTCTAATTAACCCAAAGTTTCTATGTAACATATATTGCTTAAAATAGCTTTGACTCCCTGTTGCTGTGTTGGCTTATGCCTTTTTTATGTCAACCAATCACAGGCTGCAAGTTCTACATTTAATGAAATATTTCTTAATTCAAGTTTGCTTCAGCCTGGCAGCAGCTGCTTCCTTGGGCCCCTTGCTTCGTTTCTCTTGGGCTCCAGGCTGGCAGCTGTTACCCCTGGGGCCTATAGCTTCACTTTGAATTTCAAGTTTTTATGGGGGCATAGGCTCTATTTTTCTAGGTACCAGGATTGCAAGTGTTGCTTCTTGAGCCTGGGGTTTCACCTCTCCAGCCCCTGGATTGGCATCTCATGCTGCTGCTGAGTGGGGCCTTGAATTTCAGTTTGCCACCATGATCTAGATCTGTGGCTGGGTCCTTTGATGTCACCTTGTGGAGCAGCCCGGCTGTACCTGTGCTCTCCTTTATTTTGTACCAAGGTACAGAATGTGGGATTTATTTGGAAAAAACTTTTTTTTTTTTTTAAATGGGCAAAACTAAACTCTTTTGACCTCTGCTTCTGCCACAGTCTTACATGAGGGTCTGTGTCTTTTTAGAACAAAAATAGCGTGATTCTCCCAAATAACAATACCCTTCCTTTTCAGTGCCCTGATAACAAATAGGAGAGCTGAACGTTAGTGTGAATTTTGGTGGCAAAGCTGTGTTGTTGAGAAAAGGTATGAAAATGAATCTGGATTGATGTCTGAATACGAAAGCTGCTGCAGAATCATTCTCAGGATACTTCCAGGAGAAAGGAAACCTGCTGTTCAACGTAAAGACATTGAAAGATTCCTTGCTTGGGTTATGTGGTGGTGGAGGATGACCCTTAGTAACAAACTGGTCACACTGTACCCAGCAACATTTTTCCACGCTGGCTTTTCTGGGAAAACAAGTTTATCCTATGTCATTTCTCATCCAGTTTCTCAATTGTGACCAATAATGTCCTGCATCAGTTCCATCCGGGCTGAATGGGCCAGTGGTGAGGCTGGCCATTTCCACATTTTGTTCCACATATTGCTTTATTTTGTCCCTTTTTTGCAATGAGGTGTGATTTTAGAAAAACAAGAACTCCCCATGTCAGTGTTTTCATGGATTGAAGGTCTACAGGGGTAGGGATAGGGTAATTTCCATGTTCATTTCCAGGATGCAGGCTGTTTTTTCTAGTGGCAGTAGAAAGTTTTGTTTAGTGATTGACTTCATTACAAGGGTCTGGTCTCCAAAAGTCATCTACCTCATTTTGGTCTGATATAACACGATCCCCTCCAGTTAGGGACACCACAGGTTTGAAGTTTCACTCTAAACCAATTTCTGCCCACAGTTCTCCAGAAATTATCCAATTAAAGGGCATCTCAGAGGATGGTTCTAGTGGTATTTCTCAGGTTGCCTTGTTGAGCTCCAAGAGATCCTTCATAGGTTCTGCTGTAATAGCAGCACTTAGCATTTCCACTACACCTCCATATCCTGGCTGTGCCGATTTTTGTTGCAAGTGAATTATTTGAGCTTCTTGTAAGGTTAACAAAAATGACTTATTAATCAATATTTAATGGCATTCAAGTACTCTGCTAATTAATACAAATCTAATAATTAAGCTATAATTAACACAAAATGACACTTAAGCTTGATGTACATCAACGTTGCATGCATATAGAAACGTAGCTTACCTTGTTGTAAAAATCAAATGCAGGTTATGGTATCTCTCAATCTTTAGGAGTAACCTTGAGAGGCTGCTGCTGCTGTCCAGGAGAGCTCAATGGGCGCCACTGGCTGCAAATATTCTAGAGTTGCTGACTTGCAGCTAAACTTCTTCCTTCCACAGTCATGCAATACACATACATGCCATTTTTTCTCTATTTGTGTTTTCTCAACTATACCAGCTCAGCATAGGAGTTCAGGTCCTTGACTCTACAATTTCACAAAGTTTGCCTGCAATAAGACTGCTCATCAGCAGCGTCTGAGCCAGTACTGCCAGCAGGAGACAGATGAGTGCAACTGTCACAGGAATGTAAGCATTGTGATGGTTTGACTTACAAACCAATCAGTCTGAGTCAGTCATGCTGGGCAAATTAACTACTGTGAGTGGCAGCAACTCCTGACCTGGTACAGGTAAGCCTGTCTGAAAACTTTTTTGGAGACTAAAATGAGCAGAAGACTAAATTTCAGTAGCCAATTTTGGCTGTATAACGTATGTTGAATAACTGTGTCACATTCCATACTGGTCGTTTTCCTTGACAGAATGAAGAAATAGCATGTAATTTACATTATTAGCATACTGTGATAAAGATGGGGATTCTAAGACACCAAAAGTTGCTTTCAAGATAGTGAGCATGGAGGAAGGACAGCTATAGGCCAAAAAGAACAGGTAGATGCCAATACAAAAGATTTTCTCTATCTCTAGCCAAGTGTTGAGGCCCACACTAAGGGTGTAGCTCAGTTGGGTTCTCCCCAGAAGAGGGCAATACAAGACTGAATAACTTCTAGGAAATACTTTCACACTCATAGCTGAAACTATTCAGAAACCCTTTTTTATGCTTTACGTAAAATTCCATGAGCATGATAACAGAATTGTGCTTTTATTGTTAACAGTATTTCCTTCAGCTGACATTAACGTTGTCCAGTGCAGGTTAACAGTGTGCATCATCTATTGAAAAACTAGAGCACCAATATTCTATTAGTAACAACAATCCATAGATACACATGTATCTCCATTTTCTCTTCCTTGTCTCCTTGACAAACACAAGGTATTATTTCTGGTAACACAAGTCAGTGGAGTAGCACAGATTTCTACAGGCCATACTTAAACATAACACATCTCAACTTGTGTTCTAAAGAATTCTCAACAAGCCATGTGTTCATAAAGGCATTTTTTTTTTCTTCTTTTATAAACAAAAACTGCTGATACAAATATATTCTGGAGCCAATATATTCTCTTGGCTTTATTTCTTCTGTGTGTGATCTCAGAGTAATTTTATTGCACATTAATGCATTTTAGTTACTTGAATGGTATGAAAACCACTAGAAGTTTGTATATGTCCATAAAGAAGACAGCAGTCAGTCAGTGCTTTGATTATGCTGTAAGTAGTTATGCACAGGAAAAGGAGTCAACACATTGTATAAGCTTGTATACACACTGTATTATACATATACAAGCAAGATACAAAATAGCCTATGATTACATGAGAAACTGCTCTATATGCAGGAGAAGGAGATCAAGAGAAGCCTGAATCCTGTTTTTTTTTCCTGATATGTTACTGAATTCAAAAAGCCCAAACAAAACCCTAGACAATTAGCAACCTGATTTGGAAAGATGTTTTTACTTCCTCTACAAACTGAAACAAGGCAGTAGAGAGCCATGTCCTCAGAGGACTCAAAGATGAATCCTAAGAAAAAACACAAATAGTGGCAATAAGAATTTTACTTTCTTTTAGTCCAGCACAGGACACAAGCTACGATCATGCATACTGAAATAGCAGCAGATAACAACTGCATTACACATCATTAGTGGACCTGCTTTTCAAGTTATTAAGAGTGCATACAGTTTGAACTTAAACTGTTCAGTAATACCCGCAGTAAGTCACGTTTCAAAGCTCACTCAAATTAAGATAAGCTGCATTATTTCTGGCTGTCAAATTTGAAGTAGTGCTTTACAAAGATGCACACGTGCTTTCGGCTTCTGAAAAATCCATTCATTTAGCA